ATCCAGAAGTGTGAGTACTGCGCAGCGCTCTTGCCAGGACCTCGAGAAAGTCGCAAAGTGAAACCAACATGAGCCCGTTCGACATGTAAACAGTCACCCTCTGCCACTCCAAAGCTTTCAATCTCCAAGTGAGTCATAATCAAAACCCGGTATTAAAATGGTCGACCCAGAACCATGTAAAGACTTAAGAAGGCGGCCGCTGCTATTTATGGTTGGGATTGTCCCTTACTAACCTTCACTTACCTGGGTTTTGATTGTTGTGCCTCCGTCTACAGTGGCCAAGAGCTGGCTGATGTCGTCCGTTGCATGGGCACCGCCTTCCAGCCAGTTGGCCGCTTCTGTGCTACCATCCTGCATGTCTGCTCCCATCAACTAAATACACAGGAGTATAGCAATCGGGTTGTTCACCAAAGGAAAAAGACACAGGAAGCCAACACAATATCTGCCAGACACCCAGTCTTTGAGCGCTGCATATTCTTTAATTTGAGGGACTTCTCTATGGCTTCTGGAAGATTGGTTAAAGCAATACTCGGCCAGACATGCCGATTGTTGGACCTTGACAAGAACCGCTGTCCTTTTCAATGGTGTCCAACTTAGCTGCCGTCATCCGCGTTTCTGTCCTTGGCGATCAAATGCAGTATTTGCAAGATGATCAAAACAGCTTTGCGGCCGCGAAACTGGCTCAAATGGCTTTGCAAACATCTCACCCACCCGGAACTGCCGAACCGCCATGAAACCCCTTTTGGCGACCGAGCTATCGCCCAGCGGCCTTTCAGCGAATTGCTTCCTCTTGCTACTGGCGGCCTTCCAGTCTTTCACTGCCGCTTCAGATTTCTCCAGCTGCCTGCAACCCGCTTCCGGAAACGGATGCTGCAATAGGTGGTCCAATTCTGGCTCACGTGCCATGATCCAAAGGAAACCCAGGCGCTAGCCGAAGAATGGCCGCATGCTTCGTTGCGAGTTGCGAATCAAAGGAAACGGTGCCTAGTGGTCTGGATACCTGGGAGCAGAAACAAGTTGTGCAAACCCAAACAAATACTTCTCATCCACAATAGGGTGCCTGTGTGTTGCAACCTCCCTTTCTGCATTTTAGCAGAAAGCACACATTTATTGTTGTCTAAAACAAAACAAGAAAAAACCGACCTGGTAACGTCACCCAAGGACGGTCTAGGTGTCATTTCAACTTTCAAGGAGCTGCAATCTATTGGTGCAAGCCACTGGATTGGTCCGCATGCACTATAAGGAACCAAGGTTGCCAGACTTGTGCATGTGTTCGCAAAACTGGAAATCCGCTGCACATCCTCTTCTTGACATGCTCATCTGGCAATTTCGGACCTATTCGGTGGCAACACAACGAGCAAACCAACATCGATCAGGGTGTTCAGCTTAGGTGTCCCGTTTGGCCCGTGTTCGCAAACCCTTCTGCCATTGGCAATATGCCTGCTGCCTTTCGAAATCATGCCCAAAGTCTTGGTTTGTTTTGCAACACCCATATCTTGAACACGCCCTTCCTCTGAGCCCGAGAAAAAAAACAAAGGAGCCCCGAGAAAAAGGGCGATGCATCCGCGGGCTTCTCCGCCTCTTCGAGGCTTCCGCCATGATCTCCTCCCGCTTCTGCTGCGCGCTGCTGCCTCGAGGGCTCTCCGCCTCCTGGAGTCCTGGCAATCCGTCTGTCCCGTCGGTTGGAAGTCAAGCACCAGGGGCTCAAACCCGCAAGCCCAAAATTCAACCGCCGAATTCGGGGTGAAGCCATGATCGGTAGAGGTGCTGTTCTTTTCCTAGGGCTGGGTTTTGTCTAGCGCTGGTTTTTCTCAGAGCTGGTTGCATGGTTACATCCCCAGCATCACCGGCCTCACTTGCGCCTAGGGCTGCCTATCGACTCCGACTGGGTCGGGTGCGACTAGGGGTGGCTTTGGGCTGGTTTGGGGTCCATTTAGGCTCGGCTGACATCCAAGGTGGGTTTGGAGTCGGCTTGGAGCTGATTTGTGTTCGGTGTGCTGCTGTTTTAGCGGCCTTAGGGTTGCTTTTAGGGTGGGGCAATGCTCCAAAACCAATCCTGAACCAGCCCATACCCTGAAGCTACGTCACCACTAAACAAGCAGCACACTCCAAGCCAGTTTCAACGATCTCGGCTCAGGTCCTCCCAGCTTGGCGCCAGGGACGATGGCCGGCGGCATAAAGAAGTTCTTGACGCCCGACTTCTCGTATTGCTCCTGAAATCGAAGGATTCGAGAGAGCGGTCCGTGCCAGTGGTCTGTTGCTAAGGAGGCTTACCTGCAAGTGCCTGCTTTGCCTACGTTGAATTCCGGGGATTTGGATAGCAAAACCCCAGGCAAAAGACACGTTGGCATTCGAATCAAGTTGCTGATGGCCTCCTGCGCAAAGTGCGGGCTTCAGACTACGAGGTCACGGCTGCAAGTGTGCAAAATGTCAGCCAACCCCAAAACTCCAAACGGCGGGCTTTCCTCTAAACGTCTTTCGAACCATCCCAAAAATCAGTTCCTTGTCGATCCGGGAAGCTCTCGAAACGGGCGAGAGGCAGGTCCTGCTGGCGCATTGCTGCACGCACTTCGGCCAGGCCAGGCACTGGTGGACGAACTGCCTAGCAAAGCCAGCGCCATATATGGAGGGCAAACGCGACAATAGCGCCCCCGTTTTTTTCTCGGAAACCTGATGTGTCGTGCCACTTTTGCATTCGGCCCAAAGGGTGTGCATCATTTTGACTACCACCCGCAGGAGTGCTTGCTAGACTTGGGACCCCCACAATATTAGTCGCTTTTCTTTCCCCTGGAGCCAGCCAAAAGAAAAAAGAAAATAACAAATAGGAACATCCTAGGCAGACAGCCACAACCTCCCACCCAGGCCAGCAACTTGGGACAGCGCCTGTGTGAGGATCTTTGTGGCAGCAGAGTTGGAGCTGCTGGAACCGTGGGTGGCAAGCCAAACGCTCAAAATTCCGAAGGTGATAGCTGAGAAGACGGTGTTGTTCCTCAGAGAAAAAAGAGCTCTAGGTTGAGAAGATCCGTGCAAGGACTCTCAAAATTCTGCCTGAAAGACTGATGAAAAATACCTGAAGCCAGCTATCATCCAGGGCTTGCTGACTCGGACGCAAACTGAAGTGCTCACTTCAGCCCAGGCACCAAATCAGCAACAGCCAAGGAGGCTCCATAGGGAACTCCTGCCACTCATGCACAGGGGTCTGATCTCATGCGAAGCCGCGCAATCCAGGCTTTGAAACAGCCCGGCTCAATGGCAGTTCCAGGGGCCAAGAGTTCACGTAGATGTTCAATCCCCACACAGCTCGAAGATCTGTGGCGCTGTGCACGCGTCTTTTTCCATATTTGGGGCTTGTACCCCACCACTTAATTACTGTATGCCCCTTGGTGGTGTGTCAGGAGCATGCAGCTGTGTCTTGTTGCCCGATCGCTACGGCATCTTTCTCTCCTGATATCCCACAAAGATGAAGCCGATAATGCAGGTCACCAGTAGTGATCCCACCACCTGTGGAGCTTTTGAACTTGCTCATCCCGTGTTGGAGACCCTCCATGAACAGGGTTGGCTACATCCAAAAACCAGCTGCTTTACTAGCTGCGGCTTTGCCGGGAGTGCCAGGACTCTAGGCACCCCAAAGCCAAGCGGCCATGTAGGTGTTCATGTTCGAGGTGGTCAGCTCGAACAAGTCCCGCACATCCTCCCTGAAGAGGTTCCACAGCTCAAGCTTCATGTTCCTCAGAAAAGCGCATGGGCGGAGAATGGATTTGGACCCGTCGTTAAAGCTAAAGTTGGGCGGACATAAAGTGAATGCCCAACGTGGCATTGCAAATAAACACATCTCGACGCTTGGTGAGGTGTTAAAATGCTTTGCTCGCAATGGAGCATAAATGGAAACATGTTGGATAGTGTGAGCATACATGTGAGATATACTATATGTAATCTTTGACTATCATCAGTGCCGGGTTGATGATCACCCATCATCCTCAGCACCACAGGATTCCATCACCATTGTCGTCACCACCACCACCCACCCACCCACCCACCCCACCCCACCCCACCCCACCCCACCCCACCCCACCCCACCCCACCCCACCCCACCCCACCCCACCCCACCCCACCCCACCCCACCCCACCCCACCTCACCCCACCCCACCCCACCCCACCCCACCCCACCCCACCCCACCCCACCCCACCCCACCCCACCCCACCCCACCCCACCCCACCCCACCCCACACCACCCCACCCCACCCCACCCCACCCCACCCCACCCCACCCCACCCCACCCCACCCCACCCCACCCCACCCCACCCCACCCCACCCCACCCCAACCCCACCCCACCCCACCCCACCCCACCCCACCCCACCCCACCCCACCCCACCCCTCCCCACCCCACCCCACCCCACCCCACCCCACCCCACCCCACCCCACCCCACCCCACCCCACCCCACCCCACCCCACCCCACCCCACCCCACCCCACCCCACCCCACCCACCGCCCACCACCACCCACCACCACCCACCACCACCACCACCACCACCACCAACCACCACCACCACCCACCACCACCACCAACCACCACCACCACCCACCACCACCACCACCCACCACCACCGCCACCACCACCACCACCGCCACCACCACCACCACCACCACCACCACCCACCACCACCCACCGCTTCAGGTCCAGCTTGCCTCAGCCAAGGTGCTGGTTCTGATGGATGCGGTGCTGCCGCTGCTTTGCATTAAAATGGAAACGGTCCAGATTGTAAGAGTACGCGGTTGCTGCATAGCCCGCAGCCACCGTCGCGCTCAGCATGGCAAATGGGAAAAACGCCCCAAGGGCAAAGTGGGAAAAAGGCACCTGAGCCCGGCTTGGCCTGAAAGCAGGGCAAGTTTCATGAGCCGCACGTCAGATAGCGAACCCCGAATTGGTTCCCCCCCCCCCGACTGCAAATCCTGCATCTGAACTTGGAGGCGTTTACGAGCTTCAAATCTGCAACCGGTCCTCATAGAGGGCCATCTGGATCCCCGAGATATGCAAACTCTTGTCACCGCCGCAAACCCGAGAGGCCAAAGAAGAGCCGCTCACAGGGTCATACCTGGGCCAAGGTCGCCGCTTTGGTCAAAAAAGCGTAAAACGCAAGTGTCTAATGCCCGATCACAAGGTCGCTTTCATGGGGTGCATTAGGGAAACCAGAGATGACGATCATGTCTAAATGGGAAAGGTTACCCATGGTCATCTTGGGGCCGGGAATATTGATCAGCCCCGACTTTTTGAAAGGGAAGTCAGAACCGGTGTGCCAAAAACTCTCTTCCGAAAGCAACAGAAAGGCCGTTTTGGCGCAAGGACTTCTTGGGGCCGGTGACCTGGGGGTTGCCGAGAAGCCAAGCCAAGGAGTGGGCGGTGGACCTTCGCCACCATGCGGCGTCTTCAATTGTCCGGGCGTCCTCGCAAGCAAAGCCGGGTGGTTAAAAGGAAAACCACCGCGAACCAGAAAACAAATGAACTCAAAATTGCTGGCTTTCAGGAAGCCAGCAATATGACATTGAGGCCCAGAAAAAGACGATCCGACACATGGCTCTCCAAATGGTCAGGTATTCATTTTCCAAGGGTCTAGTGTCAGTTCCCAGCTCATGCCTCTGAGCAGGTGGCGGGCCATGTGTTAGCTGTTAGCCATTCGACCCTTCCCATCCCATGTATCACGTGTCTGCCACACGCATGTCGTGTGTGCACTTCAGGGCAGATACCAAGTCTTAGTCGTTTGCGTGTATATAGCAGTTTACTACAAGCTAGAAAGCTGGCGAGCCTTGCTATTATAGCAGTTTACTACAAGCTAGAAAGCTGGCGAGCCTTGCCCTGCAAAGATGCGGACTTGATGTCATGGAACACCTCATTTCATCCAAGAATCCACCGACGCGCTGAAGAAGTTGAACCAGGCGATGCCCACAAAGATGGCCTGCATGGCGACGTTCATCACCAGCAGCACGCAAAGCTGAAAGGAGCCTTGCCAGGGATCTGCTTGTAAGTGTCCAAGGGCACAGGCTCCCAACTCGCGTCCAATGTGCGAACAAGTGGAGCTTGTGACTGACACTCTCCATGCTTTCAGAAGGCACTCACCCACTCTGTCAGGACAATGGCTCCCTGCCTCGAGGTGGTTACCGCCCAAAACTGGGCGACCTCCCTTCGATCTCCCTTCAACACAGCCCACAAACGTAAATGGTACCCCAAAAATGACACGGCTACATTGACTCTGATCTCACACCTCTTTCTTGTGGCAGGGACTTCAGCCTTTTGCAAGACCCAGTTGGCAGCCACGTATCGCTTTGTGCATGGGTAGTTGTCGACCTAAGAGGCTCACCTCCTGATGAGTTTAGATAAATACCACAAAGTTCCGCAGGTCGGGGCAGAACTTGAAGATTGCTTTCGAGCTACCTATGGGACCTATGGGAGAGCTGGGGCCGCCTGCAGGCCCTAGCGCCCCAGTGCCAATGAAGATCGCCAGGTCCCAAGTGGACTCCCCGAACCTCGCAAAGGTGAATATGCACAGAGCAACTGTGAAGGACATTGAAGGTGCTGTCAAAAGCAGGGGCCCTTTTAAATTCCCCCTTAAAAGGCGGCACAAGGCAGCACCAGGTGCCAAAAGAGTCAGTTCTTCTACGCAAGTCTCAACAACTGCAATCTACGAATTCTTGGACAGCTGTTTCCAATCAAAGGACGGCAAGCGCAATTGCTGAAACCAGCTCGCATCGTCTTTCTGCATCATTCGACTCGAAGTTCTGCACGGCAAATCATGAAACCACCAGCCCACTACACTACAGTAACAACACCGAAGAGCAAGACAGGGTGACCTTGCAAGGACATGACCTCCCTTTAGGCATAAGCATCCTGCTCTTCCGTTGGTCGTAACCTGGCCCACATTCAAAGAGTCGCCCGAGTACAACTCCCATGTGTGCAGGCAACAACAGGCTCATCTTTGCCATCTCTCCTAGTTGCTGGTAGTATTCGCGCGTCTGCATGTCCAAAACCTGCCACGCATCCGCACAGCACCAATGCTCAAGCCTGCGTAATATGCCTGGTTCTGGACACACCAAGTTGATCTGCCTCTTGGCTGGCCGACTTTTGCACAAGCTTCTGACAAACATGAAGTGCTTGTCCGCTCGTCAAATTAGGCTTCTCAAGTCTCTGAGTGTCCAGACACCACCAGGTGTCGAGACACTTTGTGTGTTGCCCATGTCATCATCCGTGTCATCCCCCAAAGCTGGTTGGGAGCGCCAAATGTCCCTGGGGATCCCTCGCAAGTGGCCTCCTCATCGATGCCGAAGTCCCGGCGGGCCATCACGGAGGCACGGCTGTTGTAGACGTTGATGGCCTCCTGTGAAGTGCAGCTATGAAATCCAGAGAAGAGAAAACAACAACTAAAAACCGATGGACCGTCAAAAAATCCTCAGGCATGCAGCGCAAGCACCGCAAAGAAATTATTGTGTTGAAATTGAGGGGCTGAGATTTACCAGCCAGGTAGATTCCAAGTGCTCATGCTGCTCAGACATTGAGCCCCGCTGGATTTGCTCGACCTATTTCTGAACAGTGTCCGATAAAACAGGATGCCGCCGAGAACCCTAAGCGACTCAGGCGAGAGGCCACCAATTCCGGCAAATTACTTGGGCCCCCGAAAGGCTCAGCCAAAAGGTCAACCAAGAGGGGGTCAACCAAAAAGGGTCAGAGAGAAATGGAGCCCCTGACCTTTGATTTTGTCACGGAACAGCGGACCCCGACAGGTTCCCCAAAGGGCTCCCTCGAAAAACCGGCGCAAGGTCAGACGAAAAGGCCGCTAGTGTCCGAAAACTAAGAGCACCAAGGGCTCCCAAAAAACTCCAGTTCAGCCTGCGCTTTGCGCAAGATTTCAGCCTGGCAGATCAAACCAAGGTTAAGCATTTGCTAAGAAATTCAGCCGCCCTGCCTCTGGGGTACATACAACCCCTTTTGCACACGCATACTGGACGTCAAAGTGATTCAATTGCCAGGGAGTCCTGAATGGCCCACGAGCCTTGAACCTACCATCGAGCTGGTGGCATTTAGTTGCAAGAGTGCGCAACAAACACATTTAAAACACCCACACCTGGGTGTCTCTCAAAATTCCGGACTGCCCCAAATGGCTTCCGGTATGTTCCCGTTTGGCTTCCCAGCTCAGCGAAGCCAAACCTCAACCCGTTGCAAGCCACGGGGTGCCCGGAGCCGACGAAAGCCTCGCGCCTTCACCTCAAAGGCGCCGCCCAGCTTCGTGGGCCGGGGCTTGGCCGGTCGGGGCGTCACCACTGGGCTCTCCGGGGGCTGGGGACACACCACAGCCTGGCGACTTCAGTCCGGGTGACCCGGAGAACAGGAAGGTTGAAAACCGAACCGGAAACCGGCTAACCGAACCGGTTTTCAAAACCGCAAGAAAACCGGAAACAAACCACAAACCGAACCGAACCAAACCGAACAGAAACCGAACCGTCCCCAGGTTTGCAGGGCAGCAAGCGTCAAAGCAACAAACCCGCATTATTGGCCGCTTCTGGTTCTGATTTTTGCTTCCGCAGTGCTCGCAACACACGAAACATCGCTGAAAACGGCCAACGAGCGGTCAGTGACTTGTTTTTTTGAGCTGCTCGGCTTTGGCGCAGACAGCATCGCCAACAGCACCGCCACGGGATCCCGTTGCGGCAGCAGGGGGAGTCGAACTCGCAAACTTTGATTGAAGTGCTCGTATACTTCGCAACTTGTTTCCGCAGGATTGCCCGAGCACCCTGTTGCAGCCTGGCTGCGCCAGCAGCGCGGAAAAAAAACAACTTACTGACGGCCAGTGGGTTGTTTGTTTTTGCGCAGCCCGGCTTGGATTGGAACAGTTTCTCGCGGGCCGAACGGAAGGAAAACTGAGTTGCCCGCTGTCACTGTGGGGGCTTGCTCTCCCGGCGCCTTGCCGCCTTGCCCTGGGCCTGCCCCTGCCCTTCCCCAACGCCCCACCAGCCTGATTGCCAGAACTTTTGGCACGCTTAGCAGGCCACTGCAGCTGAGGCCCCTTTGCTGCACGCATCAAGCCAACAAACCCGCAGTATTGGCCGCTTCTGGTTCTGATTTTTGCTTCCGCAGTGCTCGCAACACACGAAACACCGCTAAAATTTGGCAAGCAAAAAAAAAGCGGCCCACGAGCGGTCAGTGATTTTTTTTTTGGGCTGCTCGGCTTTGGCGCAGACAGCATAGCCAACAGCACCGCCACGGGATCCCGTTCCGAAGAGGCAGCAGGGGGAGTCAAACTCGCAAACTTTGTTTAAAGCCCTCGTATACTTCCATGTCCGAGCATCAACCTGTCTCACCAACCCCCCCTGCTCCCGCAGGATTGCCCGAGCACCCTGTTGCAGCCTGGCTGCGCCAGCAGCGCGGAAAAAAAACAACTTACTGACGGCCAGTGGGTTGTTTTTTTTTGCGCAGCCCGGCTTGGATTGGAACAGCTTCTCGCGGGCCGAACGGGAGGAAAACTGAGTTGCCCGCTGTCACTGTGGGGGCTTGCTCTCCCGGCGCCTTGCCGCCTTGCCCTGGGCCTGCCCTGCCCTTCCCCAACGCCCCGCCAGCCTGATTGCCAGAACTTTTGGCACGCTTAGCAGGCCACTGCAGCTGAGGCCCCTTTGCTGCACGCGTCAAGCCAACAAACCCGCATTATTGGCCGCTTCTGGTTCTGATTTTTGCTTCCGCAGTGCTCGCAACACACGAAACACCGCTGAAATTTGGCAAGCAAAAAAAGCGGCCCATGAGCGGTTTTTGCGCTTCTGAGCTTTGACTGCAAGGCCACGTGCGCGGAACAACATGCTCAGCATCAGTCAGTGGCATGGTTCGTTTGTTTGTTTGTGTGTGTGGTTGTGTCTGTGTGTGTGTGGGCGAAAGCAGACTGAGTTACCTAGAGCCTTATCTTACTTTTCTGCATTAGCCGTGCAAACCGGCAGGTTTTGGAAGGTTTTGAGTAACCGCCACTAACCGGAGAAAGGTTTTCAAAAGGTTTCAGAAACCGAACCGAACCGAACCTAACCGTGGCCACCCTGGGAGAAGGGAACTTCAAGAAAAGAAGGGAGGTTTAAACCCCCTATCCACAGACCTCAAATACAAGCAGCAGAAACTGGGAAAGTGCAACCCTTGAGCTAATCGTGCGGCAAGCTCTGGCCTCGGCGGGTGGCAGCGGCATCACGGTGCTCGCATTGACATCGGCGGTACCTCAGTGCAACGTGCTTGGCAAATCGCCGGGATGCAAAGGTTCCAAGATGCTCCTGTCCCGAGTCACCGCCCCAACACCTTCACTAGGCAATGAGAGGGAGCGCCGCTGAAGCTTGCAGCCGTGTGTCCAGGCATGGTGAGCTCGCAGGCAGTGTCGCCGGTAGATTGCCTGAAAAAAAAAACACACAGCTGCCAGCTTCCACAACAAACTCTGCCAAACGTGAGAAATGCTTCGAGTGACACAATGATGGGAAACCCCAAATAGCTGTCTAAAACCCTTCTTAAACCGTCGGCGACCACCCCGCTGCGCGCAAGAAGAGCTTGCTAGCGCGGGCACTGCAGTGTCTCTTGCCTGAACCCCACCCTGCACAGACGCAACAATGCAATCAGAGCGGCGAGGACTGGTGATCCTGCAAGGGAGCACGGCACCATCGAAGCACAGAAGCTAACATCAAACAGCTGCATCAACTGCGACCTGGGTCGCATGCCTGACCTCTGGAGTCACGTGCTTGTGTCTCTCTCCCCTTTCTGGTCCTCCCGTATTGGATTTGACAGCGCTCCGTTGTGTTTGTCAGTTTCCAGGAGGAATCGAAGGAACCACGAACACCGCAGTTCGGTCCCCTTCCAGAAGGAATCTAACCGCCCGATTGGCGCGGAGGCGCCTTACTGGTGGAGATATTCTCCAGGTGCAGCTCGAAGCGCCTCTCCAAAGCCTGGAGCTGCTGCTCCAGCCTGACACGGACAGAGTTGCCGATATCTTCCAGTCTTGTATATTACGTGTATATATACATAGATATATTGTATTATGTATTATATATACATATAACATATATGTATATTAGGTGAAAATATGTGTGCAGTTGTGTGTGTGTATTATACTATGTGTGTGGGTGTGTGGGTGTGTGGGTGTGTGGGTGTAAATTTCCATGAGTCCCGGACCCTTAGGTGGACATCTCATTTAGGCCGGATGTCCACCAACCACGCCTGAAGCCATATTTCCCCTTACAGCATCACCTACCAAGAGAAACTCACCTATCGGCCACAAAGGGATGTTCAAAACCACCAAAAAGAGTTGCACTGACCCCTTACAATGGACGTGGGCAGGTCTCGGAAGGTCCTTTTAGGGCCCCGAAACGTCCACTTTCATGATTGTTGGACAACGGGATAATCGCGCGGAGGGCCGTATGGTGAACACTCGACATCTACCTTGCCACCTTGGTCAAGGTGGTTACTAAGGATTTGGGCTAGCGGCGGGTTGCCCACCCATATCAGGGGGGGGAATCAGTCGCTGGATCCCGCGAGGTAAACGGGAAACCCAAGGAAAAACCGACGCCCCTTCCACATCAGCTTGCAAGCAATGGAATCCAACCAGCCAGAACCAGCAATGGAATCCAACCAGCCATCTATCTTTGAGATCTCCAAATCGGTCGGCCCCCTTTCTGGGCTCCATGGTCATTTGCAGCAGAATGCCTCTCCCGACTTCCTCACAAACCGTCCATGAAGTACATTCCCATCCACCATCTCTGGCCACGCGAACAACCCAAACCGCCACGCTGGCAACATGCGTGGCTTGCATGTGCATTTGGGGGTGTCTGAGTGTACCTTTTTTGGGGTGGTGTTGAAAGGAAACCACGAGGAAAACCACCATTTTGGGGGGTCCCCTCAAAAAGACACCCATTTGGACATCAGTAAACCTGTGTCTCAAGGGTTCCATGGTTGGCCCCTCAGTTGCGCCCAATCGCAGAGTGAAAACAACAATCAAATCATCAGTTCTACACCATCAATTCAAGTGAATGGTTTATGAAAGTGCTGAAGCATCGATGGAAGCCATGTGAGCGGTTTCTTGGATCATTGTTTGGAATTGTGCACCCACCATATGGCAACATTCACTCAGAAAGTGCGACACCGGCTGAAAACAGCGAGGCAGTGATCCATTCTGCGAGCAGCAACTGCAAGTACTGTAGTCAAAATCCTTAGGGGTGGTTCTCTGAACAGGAGGTCTTGAGTGCAAAGGAGTTGACGACCATCACTGAATGCCTAGACTGCGATTCCAGTTGCTTTTGAAAAATGCGCGCCAGACAGCCGTGCCAAGTCTGGGTAGCATCATTTAAGCCATTCCAGTTTGCATGTGCATCATCCACGAAATTGGCCCTTCCTCGGCACATATTCGTACCTCTGGTGCAGTTCTGTGATACAACAATGGGTCAGCATCAAGTAGCAAAGACGCTGCAGGAGGGAAGACAGCAAGACAGGCACGGCAGCACAAGGCAGAAACCTCCTCCAAGATGGGAAAGAGGAGAGACAGCTGATCAGACAAGGATCAGACAGCGTCGGAGGAGAGAATGCACAGAGACAGAGGCAACCTGCAGAAATAAGACAAAAATGAGACAGAAACAGCAGAGCATGTAGAGCATATCAAACAAGAAGTCGACCTCTCATTCCTCAGTACTTGCATTGTTTACTGCGTTTGTTCAGCTTGATGGGAAAAGGCATGAATCTCTGCGGAGTCGTTGCAACTTGCACGTTGGCGCCGAGCCCAGCCTCTTGAAGTGTTCATCGATGTCATAGAAGCTCTGCTCGATGCCAGGGCTCGACATTGCGCATTCGAGATTCTAGCAAATTACTATTCGCGAGAAAAAACAAAAACAACGGTGCTGCCAAATGCCAAAGGAGTCTACCCACAACATTGTGAATTCAAAAGGGTGGCCGCCTGTTTATGGTTGCGACCGGCCTTCAGTTACCCTTTGTGTTTCGCTTCTGTTTGGTTGCTTGGTCTTGTGTGTGTGTGCACGTCTTTCTCTCTCTCTCTCTCTCTCTCTGGCAGAGCATGGCCTTGAGAAACGGAGCCGCGGGATGCTTCACGCGACAGCTGTGGCTGAAGCAAAATGGCCGTGTTCACCTCGTAGACGTGAGACTGACAATCGTGTAAACTAGGTCTCAATCGGTCGTATTGCTGCCATGTTGGGTTGATCTCCTTTACAACAGGTGAACAATCCGTGCGACATGTTCATGTTGCAGGCACTGAAGCTCCAGCGCATTGCGCAAACGAGGAGTTCAGGAGAAGAGTCTGTGCCAAGCGTCCTTTTCCCCAAAAAACACGATGGCTCAACATGCAGGTCCGCCCCCCTCCCCCCCGGGCCCCCTCCGAACTGCCCCGCCTCCGCTCGAACTCCTCCCGCCGCCGGCGCTCTGCTTCCTCTTCCTCCTCCCAGCCTTGAGGCTAAACGACACGCTGTACGATTCTTCCACAAGTTAGCATGCGCAAAAGCGAGAGTGCCCTCGAAAGAAGCACTTGGCCATGAGCACAAATACGGACCGCACACGAAACCGCAGAAACCTCAACGATACTCGATGTCTTCAAGAAAGACTAAGAAGTGACAAGCAGTACAACTGGAAATTGCCTCGAGACACTCGTGCCAAAAATCCTGTCGAAGCAAATTCTTGGCATGTCTGGATTCTGCACGGATAATCGTACACATTACAAACCTAGACCACGGTTGGCCCGAAAGCAGGACATCGCAAGCGCGGTCGGCCCAACGCGCTGCAGGATCGTTTCTTTTTCCCTACATCGCACAAGCATATCGTGAAAGCAAGCGCGAGATACAGCGAACCTGGCAAAGGTCTCTGCGCAAACTGGTCGGTGCAAGTGTGAGTCGGCGCAAGTTGGCTCTAAACGCAAAAGTTTGGCACTGTGTCAAGTTGCTCTTGCCAAGTTGCTGCTCCGCGCAAGTTGCCTGCTCCGGCAAGTTTGGGTCCCTGCAAGTGGCTCCCTGCAAGATGCTCTGTGCAATTTGCCGCTCCCTGCATAGTTGGCTCTGTGCAAGCTGCTCTGGTGCAAGTTGCTCTGTGCAAGTTGCTCCTGCGAAATTGCTCTGCGCAAGTTGCTCTAGGCAAGGCGCTCTGCGCAAACTGGTCGGTGCAAGTTGGTCTGCGCAAGTTGCTCTGTGCAACTTGCTCTGCGCAAGTTGCTTTAAAATGCAAGTTGCATCTTGCGACGCCCGCCCGCGGACCAGGGAGGAATCGAACCCGCGACCCGCCGAGCAGGCGCGCGAACCACGAGGCAACTCCCGAGGACCAGTCCGAACAACAAAAGTCGCAAAAACCTCGAGTTTTTGCACCTCCACGCCGATTCCCGCAGAGGGTTGCGCGAGCACCGTAGAAATCGCAAAAAAACCTCGAGTTTTTGCACCTCGACCACGCCGATCCCCGCAGAGGGTTGCGCGGGCACCGCAGAAATCGCAAAAAAAACCATGGGTTTTTGCACCTCGACCACGCCGATCCCCGCAGAGGGTTACGCGAGCACCGCAGAAATCGCAAAAAACCACGAGTTTTTGTATTTTGATCACGCCGATTTTCGTAGAGGGTCGCGCGGGCATGTTGGACATCGCAAAAAACCATGGGTTTTTGCACCTCGACCACGCCGATCCCCGCAGAGGGTCGGTTTTCGTGTAGTGTCGTCGGCACTACCCCGCCGCCCTAAGAAGAGATTTTAACTCCTCGCAAGTCAATTGCACTTGACTCCTTGCACTTGCAACTTGCACTTGACTCCGTGCTTGTTTCAAGGAGTCATTGCAAGCAGTCATTGCAAGGAGTCATTGCAAGGAGTCATTGCAAGGAGTCATTGCAAGGAGTCATTGCAAGGAGTCATTGCAAGGAGTCATTGCAAGGAGTCAATGCAAGGAGTCATTGCAAGGAGTCATTGCAAGGAGTCATGAGAGCCAATGGCAAGTTGCAAGGAGCCAAGGTGCATGGAGTCAATGTGCAAGTCGCAAGTGCAACGATTAAGTGCAAGTTGCAAAGTGGCAAAGGACCAAGTGCAAGGAGCCAAGGTGCAAGAGCGCGAGGGGGCCGGGGAGGGAGGCGTAGGAAGGAGCCAAGTGCATGAGTCAAGTGCAAGTTCAAGTGCAGGAGTTTCAAGTGCAAGTTGCAAGTGCAAAGGAGTCAAGTGCAAAGATTCAAGTGCAAGAGTCAAGTGCAAGTTGCAATACTTGCCATGACTCCTTGCAATGACTCCCTGCAATGACTCCGTGCAATGACTCCTTGCAATGAATCCTTGCAATGACTCCTTGGCCATGACTCCTTGCCATGACTCCTTGCCATGACTCCTTGCAAATACTACTTGCAATGACTCCTGCAAAAGACCTCCTTGCAAATGATTACTCCTTTGCCATATCCTTTGCCATGACTCCTTGCCATGACTCCTTGCAATGACTCCTTGCAATGACTCCTTGCAATGACTCCTTGCAATGACTCCTTGCAATGACCTCTTGCAATGACTTTCATGATGATGATTCCTTGCAATGACACCTTGTAATGACTCTCATGAGAACAACTCAAGTGAACCCAGCGGAAGAACCCTTCGCCATGCTTTCGGGAAAAATAGCTCTCAACGCGGTCTAAACAAGAAGCGTGATCAAATCAACCGAACTACCTACTGTACATCAATTGACATAGTTAACATTGTTTTCTACTGTTTTTTGCTCAACTGTGTAAGTTTGACAAGTTGCATGGCAGCAACTCTAACCTAACGGCCCACGTGAGCTCCGCGCGCCGCAAGCGCTCGTGACGCTCGCCTGGCCTGTGCACAGGATCCGCTTGAAAGCAGATTGGGTTAGTGGCAGTTGGCGGTTTGCTTTGCCTGCGTTGCAGGTGCATTTGGATGGCTTTCAACTTTCCTGTGCGGCTTGTGATTTTCTTTTGATGCCTACATGTTCATGGCTGGATCTGCAAAGCATGCATCCAAACTGTACAGGCTCTGCTTCGGAAGTGCAGCTATGCTGCGTCTCTTGCCAACACGGCAGCATGGCTAGGCCAAGTCAGCAAAAAGGACCCCCCCTCGAGGTCCCAAAAGAAGGAAAGAAACAAAGAAACAAAGTACCAAACCAGGCAGATGCTTTGGCCTGGGCCCCTCTCGCCTCTCCCTCCTCACTCACTCCGCCATGTCGCTGGCATTGATGGGGGCGACCTGCACCGGAGCCTTCATGGCGTCCCTGCGGAAGGGCTCTCCCAGCTCCTGGTTCAGCAGCACCTCAACCAGGGTCGTCTCTCCGCGCTTCATTTGGCCCTCGATGGCCGAGCTCAAGGCTCGCTCCAGCTGCTCGACCGACTGCACCTTCACACCCTTCAGACCGCAGGCTTTGGCCATCTCCGCGTACTCCACGCCTTTGTTGAGCTCAGTGCCCACAAAGTTGTCGTCGTACCTCGGTCTTCGGTCTAGCCCGAGCCCCAAAAGTGAAACCTGTTGCTGGTTGCCCGGGTGGTGAGGAAGGTTTGGGGGTTGAAAGATCTTGAAAGGTTTATACGTTTTACAACGGTACCAAAGACTAGCGAAGAGTGGCAAAGAGTAGGAAAAGAGTAGCAAAGAGTGGGCAAAGAGTTGCAAAGCGTAAAGAGCCAAGGCACCAGAGCGTGGTGTTGCGCTTCTCTGCGCCCCACTGGAAGTTCCGGAAGACCACCATGCTCACCGGGGGCCAATCCCCGCGGCCACAGGCGGTGATTTCATTCACGGAGATGCCGAAGGCGCCATCCCCAGCGAAGCCCACCACGGGCACGTCGGGGTTGCCCACCTTGGCGCCCAGAATGGCTGGGAAGCCGTAGCCGCAGGGGCCGAAGAGGCCCGGGGCCAGGTATTTCCGCGGCGAGGCGAAGGAGGGGTAGGCGTTGCCAATGGCGCAGTTGTTGCCGATGTCCGAAGACATGATGGCCTCCTTGGGCATGACCCGCATGATCGCGCGCCAGGCCTGGCGCGGAGACATAAAATCCGGCGCTGCCTGGCGCGCGCGCTGGTTCCAGGTGGTGCCCTCGTCGTCCAGCTCGTGGTCCAGGCTCTCCAGTTCAGCTGCCCAGGCTGCCTTCTTCTCCTTCACCAGGGCCGCGCGCTCCGCCCGGCCGCTCCCAGCTTCCGGCGCCAGCTGCTGCAGCAGCTGCTCAGCCACCAAGCCTGCGTCGCCCTGAATGCCGACGTCCACTGACTTAGTGAGGCCGATGCGGTCACCGTTGATGTCTACCTGGATCAGCTTGGCATCTTTCGGCCAGTAGTCCATGCCGTAGCCCGGCAAAGTGGAGAAGGGGTTGAGCCTCGTGCCCAGCGCCAGAACCACGTCCGCCTTGGACATCACCTCCATGGCCGCCTTGGATCCGTTGTAGCCCAAAGGCCCCATATGCAGCGGGTGGTCTCCCGGGAAGGCGTCGTTGTGCTGGTAGTTGCAGCAAACCGGCGCGCCCAAGCGCTCCGCCAGCTTCACGGACTGCTCGGTCCCTCCCGAGAGGATCACCCCGGCACCGTTGAGGATCACCGGGAACTTGGCCTCGGAGAGGAGCTCCGCGGCGCGGCGGGTCGACTCCTTGCCGCCCCCCGTGCGCTCCAGCTTTACGCCCGTGGGCAGAGGCAGCTCCACCACCTGCGTCCAGTAGTCTCGGGGGATGTTGATCTGCGCCGGCGCGCTGCAGAGCAAAGCCTTCTCGATCACGCGGTTCAGCACCTCGACGATGCGGGTGTGGTCCCGCACCTCCTCCTGGTAGCAAACGCAGTCCTTGAACATGTTCATCTGCTCCACCTCCTGAAACCCACCCTGGCCTATGGTCTTGTTCGCTGCCTGCGGCGTGACCAGCAACAGCGGAGTATGATTCCAGTAGGCTGTCTTCACGGGCGTCAGGAAGTTGGTGATGCCAGGCCCGTTCTGTGCGATCATCATCGACATCTTCCCTGTTGTTCGTGTGTAGCCGTCCGCCATCATTCCAGCATTGCACTCGTGTGCACAGTCCCAGAATTTGATGCCTGCTTTTGGGAAGAGGTCCGAGATCGGCATCATGGCAGAACCGATGATGCCAAAGGCGTTCTTGATGCCATGCATCTGGAGAGTCTTCACGAACGCTTCCTCCGTGGTCATGCGCATCGGGGCCTTCCGTTGTCCGTGCATCAGCTTGCTGGCCGCGCTGAACGACCGCAGCCCAGCAGTCTGACGGGACAAAAGGAGGCGGGCCACATCTTGCGAGGTCATGGACAAAATTGGCGCCGCTCGCATCGCAAGTGCTAGGATTCCTTGACCCTGGCAGAAACCTCGGTGAATGCTGAGGCTCGCAAAATTGCGCGAGTGGATGCCTTGAGCCAGGATGCATTGATGCACGTGCAGAAAACATACATCTTCAAAAACATATACATATTGACACTCTGTTCAAGAGTTGCTTCATCCATCATCAAACCTACGCTTTCCGCGGCTGATTGCTTTGCTTCAAGTGCAATTGCATGGGATGGCGCGTTCAACTTTGTTTGTACCCTTCCGTGGCTGGATCTGCAAAGCATGCATCCAAACTGTACAGGCTCTGCTTCGGAAGTGCAGCTATGCTGCGCTCTTGCCGACACGGCAGCATGGCTAGGCCAAGTCAGCAAAAAGGACCCCCCCTCGAGGTCCCAAAAGAAGGAAAGAAACAAAGAAACAAAGTACCAAACCAGGCAGATGCTTTGGCCTGGGCCCCTCTCGCCTCTCCCTCCTCACTCACTCCGCCATGTCGCTGGCATTGATGGGGGCGACCTGCACCGGAGCCTTCATGGCGTCCCTGCGGAAGGGCTCTCCCAGCTCCTGGTTCAGCAGCACCTCAACCAGGGTCGTCTCTCCGCGCTTCATTTGGCCCTCGATGGCCGAGCTCAAGGCTCGCTCCAGCTGCTCGACCGACTGCACCTTCACACCCTTCAGACCGCAGGCTTTGGCCATCTCCGCGTACTCCACGCCTTTGTTGAGCTCAGTGCCCACAAAGTTGTCGTCGTACCTCGGTCTTCGGTCTAGCCCGAGCCCCAAAAGAGAAACCTGTTGCTGGTTGCCCGGGTGGTGAGGAAGGTTTGGGGGTTGAAAGATGTTGAAAGGTTTATACGTTTTACAACGGTACCAAAGACTAGCGAAGAGTGGCAAAGAGTAGGAAAAGAGTAGCAAAGAGTGGGCAAAGAGTTGCAAAGCGTAAAGAGCCAAGGCACCAGAGCGTGGTGTTGCGCTTCTCCGCGCCCCACTGGAAGTTCCGGAAGACCACCATGGTCACCGGGGGCCAATCCCCGCGGCCACAGGCAGTGATTTCATTCACGGAGATGCCGAAGGCGCCATCCCCAGCGAAGCCCACCACGGGCACGTCGGGGTTGCCCACCTTGGCGCCCAGAATGGCCGGGAAGCCGTAGCCGCAGGGCCCGAAGAGGCCCGGGGCCAGGTATTTCCGCGGCGAGGCGAAGGAGGGGTAGGCGTTGCCAATGGCGCAGTTGTTGCCGATGTCCGAAGACATGTTGGCCTCCTTGGGCATGACCCGCATGATCGCGCGCCAGGCCTGGCGCGGAGACATGAAATCTGGCGCTGCCTGGCGCGCGATGGGTTCCAGGTGGTGCCCTCGTCGTCCAGCTCGTGGTCCAGGCTCTCCAGTTCAGCTGCCCAGGCTGCCTTCTTCTCCTTCACCAGGGCCGCGCGCTCCGCCCGGCCGCTCCCAGCTTCCGGCGCCAGCTGCTGCAGCAGCTGCTCAGCCACCAAGCCTGCGTCGCCCTGAATGCCGACGTCCACTGACGTAGTGAGGCCGATGCGGTCACCGTTGATGTCTACCTTCTTGTTCGCTGCCTGCGGCGTGACCAGCAACAGCGGAGTATGATTCCAGTAGGCTGTCTTCACGGGCGTCAGGAAGTTGGTGATGCCAGGCCCGTTCTGTGCGATCATCATCGACATCTTCCCTGTTGTTCGTGTGTAGCCGTCCGCCATCATTCCAGCATTGCACTCGTGTGCACAGTCCCAGAATTTGATGCCTGCTTTTGGGAAGAGGTCCGAGATCGGCATCATGGCAGAACCGATGATGCCAAAGGCGTTCTTGATGCCATGCATCTGGAGAGTCTTCACGAACGCTTCCTCCGTGGTCATGCGCATCGGGGCCTTCCGTTGTCCGTGCATCAGCTTGCTGGCCGCGCTGAACGACCGCAGCCCAGCAGTCTGACGGGACAAAAGGAGGCGGGCCACATCTTGCGAGGTCATGGACAAAATTGGCGCCGCTCGCATCGCAAGTGCTAGGATTCCTTGACCCTGGCAGAAACCTCGGTGAATGCTGAGGCTCGCAAAATTGCGCGAGTGGATGCCTTGAGCCAGGATGCATTGATGCACGTGCAGAAAACATACATCTTCAAAAACATATACATATTGACACTCTGTTCAAGAGTTGCTTCATCCATCATCAAACCTACGCTTTCCGCGGCTGATTGCTTTGCTTCAAGTGCAATTGCATGGGATGGCGCGTTCAACTTTGTTTGTACCCTTCCGTGGCTGGATCTGCAAAGCATGCATCCAAACTGTACAGGCTCTGCTTCGGAAGTGCAGCTATGCTGCGCTCTTGCCGACACGGCAGCATGGCTAGGCCAAGTCAGCAAAAAGGACCCCCCCTCGAGGTCCCAAAAGAAGGAAAGAAACAAAGAAACAAAGTACCAAACCAGGCAGATGCTTTGGCCTGGGCCCCTCTCGCCTCTCCCTCCTCACTCACTCCGCCATGTCGCTGGCATTGATGGGGGCGACCTGCACCGGAGCCTTCATGGCGTCCCTGCGGAAGGGCTCTCCCAGCTCCTGGTTCAGCAGCACCTCAACCAGGGTCGTCTCTCCGCGCTTCATTTGGCCCTCGATGGCCGAGCTCAAGGCTCGCTCCAGCTGCTCGACCGACTGCACCTTCACACCCTTCAGACCGCAGGCTTTGGCCATCTCCGCGTACTCCACGCCTTTGTTGAGCTCAGTGCCCACAAAGTTGTCGTCGTACCTCGGTCTTCGGTCTAGCCCGAGCCCCAAAAGAGAAACCTGTTGCTGGTTGCCCGGGTGGTGAGGAAGGTTTGGGGGTTGAAAGATGTTGAAAGGTTTATACGTTTTACAACGGTACCAAAGACTAGCGAAGAGTGGCAAAGAGTAGGAAAAGAGTAGCAAAGAGTGGGCAAAGAGTTGCAAAGCGTAAAGAGCCAAGGCACCAGAGCGTGGTGTTGCGCTTCTCCGCGCCCCACTGGAAGTTCCGGAAGACCACCATGGTCACCGGGGGCCAATCCCCGCGGCCACAGGCAGTGATTTCATTCACGGAGATGCCGAAGGCGCCATCCCCAGCGAAGCCCACCACGGGCACGTCGGGGTTGCCCACCTTGGCGCCCAGAATGGCCGGGAAGCCGTAGCCGCAGGGCCCGAAGAGGCCCGGGGCCAGGTATTTCCGCGGCGAGGCGAAGGAGGGGTAGGCGTTGCAATGGCGCAGTTGTTGCCGATGTCCGAAGACATGATGGCCTCCTTGGGCATGACCCGCATGATCGCGCGCCAGGCCTGGCGCGGAGACATAAAATCCGGCGCTGCCTGGCGCGCGCGATGGTTCCAGGTGGTGCCCTCGTCGTCCAGCTCGTGGTCCAGGCTCTCCAGTCAGGCTGCCCAGTCGACCTTGGCCTTCCTCTTCACCGCAGGGCCGCGCGCTCCGCCCGCGCTCCCAGCTTCCGGCGCCAGCGCTGCGCAGCTGCTCAGCACCAAGCCTGCGTCGTGCCCCTGAATTGCGCCGACGTCCACTGACTTAGTGAGGCCGATGCGGTCCACCGTTGATGGACTACCTTGATCAGCTTGGCATCTTTTCGAGCCATAGTCCATGCCAGTAGCCCGCAGAAGTGGAGAAGCGGTTGAGCTCGTGCCCAGCGCCAGAACCACGTCCACTTGGACATCACCTCCAAGGCCGCCTTGGATCCGTTTTGTAGCCCAAAGGCCCCCATAGGCACGGGTGGTCTCCCGGGAAGGCGTCGTTGTGCTGGTAGTTGCAGCAAACCGGCGCGCCCAAGCGCTCCGCCAGCTTCACGGACTGCTCGGTCCCTCCCGAGAGGATCACCCCGGCACCGTTGAGGATCACCGGGAACTTGGCCTCGGAGAGGAGCTCCGCGGCGCGGCGGGTCGACTCCTTGCCGCCCCCCGTGCGCTCCAGCTTTACGCCCGTGGGCAGAGGCAGCTCCACCACCTGCGTCCAGTAGTCTCGGGGGATGTTGATCTGCGCCGGCGCGCTGCAGAGCAAAGCCTTCTCGATCACGCGGTTCAGCACCTCGACGATGCGGGTGTGGTCCCGCACCTCCTCCTGGTAGCAAACGCAGTCCTTGAACATGTTCATCTGCTCCACCTCCTGAAACCCACCCTGGCCTATGGTCTTGTTCGCTGCCTGCGGCGTGACCAGCAACAGCGGAGTATGATTCCAGTAGGCTGTCTTCACGGGCGTCAGGAAGTTGGTGATGCCAGGCCCGTTCTGTGCGATCATCATCGACATCTTCCCTGTTGTCCGTGTGTAGCCGTCTGCCATCATTCCAGCATTGCACTCGTGTGCACAGTCCCAGAATTTGATGCCTGCTTTTGGGAAGAGGTCCGAGATCGGCATCATGGCAGAGCCGATGATGCCAAAGGCGTTCTTGATGCCATGCATCTGGAGAGTCTTCACGAACGCTTCCTCCGTGGTCATGCGCATCGGGGCCTTCCGTTGTCCGTGCATCAGCTTGCTGGCCGCGCTGAACGACCGCAGCCCAGCAGGCCGACGGGACAAAAGGAGGCGGGCCACATCTTGCGAGGTCATGGACAAAATTGGCGCCGCTCGCATCGCAAGTGCTAGGATTCCTTGACCCTGGCAGAAACCTCGGTGAATGCTGAGGCTCGCAAAATTGCGCGAGTGGATGCCTTGAGCCAGATCATTGATGCCTTGCAGAAAACACAGAAGCTTCAAAAACATATACATATTGACACTCTGTCAGAGTTGCTTCAATCCATCATCAAACCTAAGCTTTCCTCCGCGCTGATTTCTTTAATCAAGTGCAATTGCATGAAGGCGCGTTTCAACTTTGTTTGTAAAACCCTTCCGTGGCTGGATCTGCAAAGCGCATGCATCCAAACTTGGACAGTCTCTGCTTCGGAAGTGGCTATGCTGCGCTCTTGCCGACACGGCAGCATGGCTAGGCCAAGTCAGCAAAAAGGACCCCCCCTCGAGGTCCCAAAAGAAGGAAAGAAACAAAGAAACAAAGTACCAAACCAGGCAGATGCTTTGGCCTGGGCCCCTCTCGCCTCTCCCTCCTCACTCACTCCGCCATGTCGCTGGCATTGATGGGGGCGACCTGCACCGGAGCCTTCATGGCGTCCCTGCGGAAGGGCTCTCCCAGCTCCTGGTTCAGCAGCACCTCAACCAGGGTCGTCTCTCCGCGCTTCATTTGGCCCTCGATGGCCGAGCTCAAGGCTCGCTCCAGCTGCTCGACCGACTGCACCTTCACACCCTTCAGACCGCAGGCTTTGGCCATCTCCGCGTACTCCACGCCTTTGTTGAGCTCAGTGCCCACAAAGTTGTCGTCGTACCTCGGTCTTCGGTCTAGCCCGAGCCCCAAAAGTGAAACCTGTTGCTGGTTGCCCGGGTGATGAGAGTGGCAAAGAGTAGGAAAAGAGTAGCAAAGAGTGGGCAAAGAGTTGCAAAGCGTAAAGAGCCAAGGCACCAGAGCGTGGTGTTGCGCTTCTCCGCGCCCCACTGGAAGTTCCGGAAGACCACCATGGTCACCGGGGGCCAATCCCCGCGCCCACAGGCGGTGATTTCATTCACGGAGATGCCGAAGGCGCCATCCCCAGCGAAGCCCACCACGGGCACGTCGGGGTTGCCCACCTTGGCGCCCAGAATGGCCGGGAAGCCGTAGCCGCAGGGCCCGAAGAGGCCCGGGGCCAGGTATTTCCGCGGCGAGGCGAAGGAGGGGTAGGCGTTGCCAATGGCGCAGTTGTTGCCGATGTCCGAAGACATGATGGCCTCCTTGGGCATGACCCGCATGATCGCGCGCCAGGCCTGGCGCGGAGACATGAAATCTGGCGCTGCCTGGCGCGCGCGCTGGTTCCAGGTGGTGCCCTCGTCGTCCAGCTCGTGGTCCAGGCTCTCCAGTTCAGCTGCCCAGGCTGCCTTCTTCTCCTTCACCAGGGCCGCGCGCTCCGCCCGGCCGCTCCCAGCTTCCGGCGCCAGCTGCTGCAGCAGCTGCTCAGCCACCAAGCCTGCGTCGCCCTGAATGCCGACGTCCACTGAACTAGTTAGGGCCGATTGCGGTCCACCGTTGATGTCTACCTGGATCAGCGTGGCATCTTTCGGCCATAATCCATGCCGTAGCACCGGCAAGTGGAGAAGGGTGAGCCTCGTGCCCAGCGCCTTAACCACGTCCGCCTTGGACATCACCGTCCATGGCCGCCTTGATCCGTTGTACCCAAAGGCCCCCATATAGCAATGCGGGTGGTCTCCCGGGAAGGCGTCCGTTGCGCTGGTATTGCAGCAAAAACGCGGCGCGCACAAGCGCTCCGCCACTTCACGGACTGCTCGGACCCCGCTCCCTGAAGAGGGATCATACCCGGCAACCGTTGGAGGATCACCGGGAACTTGGCCTCGGAGAGGAGCTCCGCGGCGCGGCGGGTCCGACTCCTTGCCCGCCCCCCCGTGCGCTCCAGCTTTACGGCCCGTGGCAGAGGCAGCTCCACCACCTGCGTCCCAGTAGGTCTCGGGCGGGATGTTGATCTGCGCCGGCGCGCTGCAGAGCAAGCCTTCTCGAAAAATCCCCACCGGTTCAGCACCTCGAAGATGCGGGTGTGGTCCCGCACCTCCTCCTGGTAGCACTAAAACGCATCCCTTGAACATGCTTGGCGCGGAACCGTCCTGAAACCCACCCTTGGCCTATGGTCTTGTTCGCGCCTGCGGCGTACCAGCAACAGCGGAGTATGATTCCAGTAGGCTGTCTTCACGGGATCGTCAGGAAGTTTGGTGATTGCCAGGCCCGTTCTGTGCGATCATCATCCGACATCTTCCCTGTTTTCGTGTGTAGCCGTCCCGCCATCATTCCAGCATTGCACTCGTGTGCACAGTCCCAGAATTGATCGCCTGCTTTTTGGGAAGAGGTCCGAGATCGGCATCATGGCAGAACCGATGATGCCAAGGGCGTTCTTGATGCCATCATCTGGAGAGTCTTCACGAACTTTCCTCCGTGGTCAATAAGGCGCATACGGGGCCTCCGTTGTCCGTGCTTAGCTTGCTGGCCGCGCTGAACGACCGCAGCCCAGCAGGCCGACGGGACAAAAGGAGGCCGGGCCACATCTTGCGAGGGGTCATGACAAATATCGGCCCGCTCGCACGCAAGTGCTAGGATTTTCCTTGACCCTCGGCAGACAACCCTCGGTGAATGCTGAGGCTCCGCAAAATTGCGTCGAGTGATGCCTTGAGCCCAGGATGCGTTGATGCACGTGCAGAAAACATACATCTTCAAAAACATATTACATATTGACACTCTGTTCAAGAGTTGCTTCATCCATCATCAAACCTACGCTTTCCCGCGCTGATTGCTTGCTTCAAGCGCAATTCATGGGATGGCGTCGTTCAACTTTGTTTACCGTCCCGTGGCTGGATCTGCAAAGCATTGCATCCAAACTGTACAGGCTCTGCTTCGGAACTGCAGCTATGCTGCGCTCTTGCCGACACGGCAGCATGGCTAGGCCAAGTCAGCAAAAAGGACCCCCCCTCGAGGTCCCAAAAGAAGGAAAGAAACAAAGAAACAAAGTACCAAACCAGGCAGATGCTTTGGCCTGGGCCCCTCTCGCCTCTCCCTCCTCACTCACTCCGCCATGTCGCTGGCATTGATGGGGGCGACCTGCACCGGAGCCTTCATGGCGTCCCTGCGGAAGGGCTCTCCCAGCTCCTGGTTCAGCAGCACCTCAACCAGGGTCGTCTCTCCGCGCTTCATTTGGCCCTCGATGGCCGAGCTCAAGGCTCGCTCCAGCTGCTCGACCGACTGCACCTTCACACCCTTCAGACCGCAGGCTTTGGCCATCTCCGCGTACTCCACGCCTTTGTTGAGCTCAGTGCCCACAAAGTTGTCGTCGTACCTCGGTCTTCGGTCTAGCCCGAGCCCCAAAAGTGAAACCTGTTGCTGGTTGCCCGGGTGGTGAGGAAGGTTTGGGGGTTGAAAGATGTTGAAAGGTTTATACGTTTTACAACAGTACCAAAGACTAGCGAAGAGTGGCAGAGAGTAGGAAAAGAGTAGCAAAGAGTGGGCAAAGAGTTGCAAAGCGTAAAGAGCCAAGGCACCAGAGCGTGGTGTTGCGCTTCTCCGCGCCCCACTGGAAGTTCCGGAAGACCACCATGGTCACCGGGGGCCAATCCCCGCGCCCACAGGCGGTGATTTCATTCACGGAGATGCCGAAGGGCCCCCCGCCCCCCCCCCCCCCCCAAAAAAAAAAAAACATCCCCAGCGAAGGCCCACCACGGGCACGAACGTCGGGGTTGCTCCACCTTGGCGCCCAGATGGCCGGGAAGCCGTAGCCGCAGGGCCCGAAGAGGCCCGGGGCCAGGTATTTCCGCGGCGAGGCGAAGGTGGGGTAGGCGTTGCCAATGGCGCAGTTGTTGCCGATGTCCGAAGACATGATGGCCTCCTTGGGCATGACCCGCATGATCGCGCGCCAGGCCTGGCGCGGAGACATAAACTCCGGCGCTGCCTGGCGCGCGCGATGGTTCCAGGTGGTGCCCTCGTCGTCCAGCTCGTGGGGTCCAGGCTCTCCAAGTTTTCACTGTCCCCCCAGGCTGCCTTCTTCTCCTTCACCAGGCCGGCGCGCTCCGCCCGGCCGCCCCCCTCCCAGCTTCCCGGCGCCAGCTGCTTAGCAGCAGCTGCTTCACATCCAACCAAGCCTGCGTCGCCCCTGAATGCCGACGATACCACCTAACTTTAGTGAGGCCGATGCGGTCACCGTTGATGTCTACCTGGATCAGCTTGGCATCTTTTCGCAGTAGTCCATGCCGCACCCCCCCCCGCAAAGTGTAGAGGGGGTTGAGCCTCTGCCCAGCGCCAGATCCACGTCCCGCCTTGGACTTCACCTCCTGGCCGCCTTGGATCCGTTGTAGCCAAAGGCCCCATATGGCATCGGGTGGGTCTCCCGGGAAGGCGTCGTTGTGCTGGTAGTTGCAGCAAAACCAGGCGCGCCCAAGCGTCAAGATCCGCTGCTTCCACGGACTGCTCGGTCCTCCCGAGAGGATCACCCCGGCACCGTTGAAGATCACCGGGAACTTGGCCTCGGAGAAGGAGCTCCGCGGCGGGCGGTCGACTCCTTGCAGCCCCACCCCGTGCGCTCCAGCTTTACGCCCGTGGGCAGAGGCAGCTCCACCACCTGCGTCCAGTAGTCTCGGGGGATGTTGATCGCGCCGGCGCGCTGCAGAGCAGAGCCTTCTCGATCACGCGGTTCAGCACCTCGTCGATGCGGGTGTGGTCCCGCACACTCCTCCTGTAGCAAACGCAGATCCTTGAACATGTTCAGGCGCTCCACCTCCTGAAAACTCACCCTGGCCTATGGTTCTTGTGCTGCCTGCGCCGTGACAGCAACAGCGAGATATTTCCCCAGTAGGCTGTCTTCACGGCGCGACCCCCCCCCCCCCCCCTCAGAAGTTTGGTGATGCCAGGCCCGTTCTGTGCGATTCATCTTCGGTCATCCTTCCCTGTTTTTCCGTAGTGTAGCCGGTCTGCCATATTCCAGGAAACATTGCACTCGTGTGTTCACAGTCCCAAATTGATGCCTGCTTTGGGAAAGGTCCGAGATCGGCATCATGGCATAACCGATGATGCCAAAGGGGCGTTCTTGATGCCATGCATCTGGAGAGTCTTCACGATAACCTTCCTCCGGGTATAAAGCGCATCGGGGCCTTCCGTTTGTCCGTGCAATCAGCTTGCTGGCCGCGCTGAAACGACCGCAGGCCCAGCAGGCCCGACGGGACAAAAGGAGGCGGGCCACATCTTGCGAGGTCATGGACAAAATTGGCGCCGCTCGCATCGCAAGTGCTAGGATTCCTTGACCCTGGCAGAAACCTCGGTGAATGCTGAGGCTCGCAAAATTGCGCGAGTGGATGCCTTGAGCCAGGATGCGTTGATGCACGTGCAGAAAACATACGTCTTCAAAAACCTCTACATATTGACACTCTGTTCAAGAGTTGCTTCATCCACCATCAAACCTACGCTTTCCGCGGCTGATTGCCTTGCTTCAAGTGCAATTGCATGGGATGGCGCGTTCAACTTTGTTTGTACCCTTCCGTGGCTGGATCTGCAAAGCATGCATCCAAACTGTACAGGCTCTGCTTCGGAAGTGCAGCTATGCTGCGCTCTTGCCGACACGGCAGCATGGCTAGGCCAAGTCAGCAAAAAGGACCCCCCTCGAGGTCCCAAAAGAAGGAAAGAAACAAAGAAACAAAGTACCAAACCAGGCAGATGCGTTGGCCTGGGCCCCTCTCGCCTCTCCCTCCGCACTCACTCCGCCATGTCGCTGGCATTGATGGGGGCGACCTGCACCGGAGCCTTCATGGCGTCCCTGCGGAAGGGCTCTCCCAGCTCCTGGTTCAGCAGCACCTCAACCAGGGTCGTCTCTCCGCGCTTCATTTGGCCCTCGATGGCCGAGCTCAAGGCTCGCTCCAGCTGCTCGACCGACTGCACCTTCACACCCTTCAGACCGCAGGCTTTGGCCATCTCCGCGTACTCCACGCCTTTGTTGAGCTCAGTGCCCACAAAGTTGTCGTCGTACCTCGGTCTTCGGTCTAGCCCGAGCCCCAAAAGTGAAACCTGTTGCTGGTTGCCCGGGTGGTGAGGAAGGTTTGGGGGTTGAAAGATGTTGAAAGGTTTATACGTTTTACAACGGTACCAAAGACTAGCGAAGAGTGGCAAAGAGTAGGAAAAGAGTAGCAAAGAGTGGGCAAAGAGTTGCAAAGCGTAAAGAGCCAAGGCACCAGAGCGTGGTGTTGCGCTTCTCCGCGCCCCACTGGAAGTTCCGGAAGACCACCATGGTCACCGGGGGCCAATCCCCGCGCCCACAGGCGGTGATTTCATTCACGGAGATGCCGAAGGCGCCATCCCCAGCGAAGCCCACCACGGGCACGTCGGGGTTGCCCACCTTGGCGCCCAGAATGGCCGGGAAGCCGTAGCCGCAGGGCCCGAAGAGGCCCGGGGCCAGGTATTTCCGCGGCGAGGCGAAGGAGGGGCAAGCGTTGCCAATGGCGCAGTTGTTGCCGATGTCCGAAGACATGATGGCCTCCTTGGGCATGACCCGCATGATCGCGCGCCAGGCCTGGCGCTGCCTGGCGCGCGCGCTGGTTCCAGGTGGTGCCCTCGTCGTCCAGCTCGTGGTCCAGGCTCTCCAGTTCAGATGCCCAGGCTGCCTTCTTCTCCTTCACCAGGGCCGCGCGCTCCGCCCGGCCGCTCCCAGCTTCCGCACAACAGGGCTCTCAGCAGAAAAGAAAGACGTCCACGGATTACAGGCTGGGCAGCGTCAAAGGAGTTCTTGACTTTGTGCGATGGAACTCAAAGCCCAGGAAGTTGCAGCTGTGCAAGATTTGTAGCAGCTGTGTTTGCTGTGGCCCTTTCGGCAGAAGACGAAGAAGCAGACGCACAAGAGCGCGCTGCCAGTCACTTGCCAGTCACCTTCCAACGATCCGAAGATTTTCTCCCGCATCCTGCGCGCACAATTGCAGGCCACGCAAAAAGAGCAGTGCGCTGCAGCTTGCGTGGATCCTCAAATCGTGTGGGGAGATTGCTCGCCAGCATTCTCAACAGGTGGTTACCACTGATTTAGTGAGGCCGAGGCGGTCACCGTTGATGTCTACCTGGATCAGCTTGGCATCTTTCGGCCAGTAGTCCATGCCGTAGCCCGGCAAAGTGGAGAAGGGGTTGAGCCTCGTGCCCAGCGCCAGAACCACGTCCGCCTTGGACATCACCTCCATGGCCGCCTTGGATCCGTTGTAGCCCAAAGGCCCCATATGCAGCGGGTGGTCTCCCGGGAAGGCGTCGTTGTGCTGGTAGTTGCAGCAAACCGGCGCGCCCAAGCGCTCCGCCAGCTTCACGGACTGCTCGGTCCCTCCCGAGAGGATCACCCCGGCACCGTTGAGGATCACCGGGAACTTGGCCTCGGAGAGGAGCTCCGCGGCGCGGCGGGTCGACTCCTTGCCGCCCCCCGTGCGCTCCAGCTTTACGCCCGTGGGCAGAGGCAGCTCCACCACCTGCGTCCAGTAGTCTCGGGGGATGTTGATCTGCGCCGGCGCGCTGCAGAGGGCAAAGCCTTCCTCGATCACAGCGGTTCAGTCACTCGACGATGCGGGGTGGTCCCGCCACCTTCCTCCTGGTAGCAAACTCCAGTCCTTGAACATGTTCATCTGCTCCACCTCCTGAAACCCACCCCTGGCCTATGGTCTTTGTATCGCTGCCTGCGGGCTGACCAGCAACTGCGGAGTATGATTCCCAGAAGCTGTTCTTCACGGGCGTCAGAAGTTGGTGATGCAGGCCCGTTCTGTGCGATCATCATCGACAATCTTTCCCTGTGTTGCCGTGTGTAGCCGTCCGCCATCATTCCAGCATTGCACTCCATGTGCACCATTCCCAGAAATTTGTTGCCTGCTTTTGGGAAAGAGGTTCCGAGATCCGGCATCATGGCAAGCCGATGATGCCAAAGGCGTTTCTTGATGCCATGCATCTGGAGCAGATCTTCACAGAACGTGTTCCCTCCGTGGTCATGTGCGCATCGGGCCTTCCGTTGTCCGGGCATCAGCTTGCGACGCGCTGAAACAGACCGCAGCCAGCAGTCCGACGGGTACAAAAGGAGGCGGGCCACATCCTTGCGAGGTCATGTCAAAACTGGCGCCGCTCGGTGAATTCTGAGGTGCAAAAACTGCGCGAGGATGCCTTGAGCCAGGACGAAAGCGCACGGTGTATATAGTGTGTGTGGGTATGTGTGTGTGTGAGTGTGTGCGGTGTGTGGGTGCGCGTGGCGTGGTGCGTACGTGGGCGTGTGCGTGTGCGTTTGCGTGCGCGAGTGCGTGTGCGTGCGCGTCGTGCGGCGCGTGCGCGTGTGTGGGCATGTGCATGGGGCGTGGCGTGTGCGTAATGCGTGTGGATGCGCGTGTGTGCGTGATGCGTGTGCGCGGTGCGCGTGTGTGTGCGTTGCCGTGTGTGTTTGCGTGTGTGCGTGTGCTTGTGCGTGTTATGTGCGCGTGTGTGCAGTGCGTGTGTGGCGTGTGTGCGTGTGTTGCGGTTGTGCGTGCGTGCGTGAGCGAGTGCGTGCGCGGTGTGTGTGTGCGCGGTGCATGTTGGTGCGTGTGGGTGTGCTGTGTGCGTGTGTTGTGTGTGTGGGTGGAGTGCGTGCAATGCGTGCGTGCGGCTGCGTCGGTGCGCGCGCGTGTGTGTGTGGTGTGAGTTGTGGTGCGTGATGCGTGGTGCGCGTATGTGGTGTGTGTGTGTGCGCGGTGTGTCTGTTAATTTCCGTGTGTGCGTGTGTGCGTGTGTGCAAGTGCGCGTGTAAAGTGTCTTTGCGCGTGCGGCGTGTTGCGATGTGTGCGCGCGTGCGCGTGTGCGCGTGTGCGCGGTGCGCGTGTGCGTGTGTGGTGTTGCGTGTGAGCGGTTGTGCGTGTGGTGCGTTGTGGTGCGCGTGCGCGCGTGCGCGTGTGTGCGCGTGTGCGCGAGTGTGGGCGCCGTCTATGAGTGTGCGTGTGTGTTGGTGTGCGCGTTGTGGGGTGTGTGTCGTGTGTGCGTGTGTGCGTGTGTGCTTGTGCCGCGTGTGGTGCGTGTGGTGCGTGTGGTGCGTGTGGTGCGTGTGGGTGTGGTGCGCGTGCACGTGTGAGCGTGTGTGCAATGTGTGCGTGTGTGCGTGTGTGCGTGTGTGCGGGCGTGCGGGTGTGCGGTTGTGTGGTGTGTGTGTGTGTGTGTGTGTGCGGGCGTCGTGCGTGGCGTGCGTGCGGTGCGTGCGTGCGTGCGTGCGTGCGTGGTGTGTGTGGGTGTTGTGTGTGTGTGTGTGTGTGTGTGTGGTGTTTGTGTTGTTTGTGTGTGTGTGTGCGTGGTGTGCGTGTGTGTGTGTGTGGTGAGAGCGTGGGTGGTGTGTGTTTGTGCGCGTCTATGCGTGGCGCCGTGGTGTGCGCGTGTGTGTTGCCGCGCGTGTGCGGCGTTGTGCTTGTTGCGTGAGCGCGCGTGTGTGCATGTTGCGCTGCGCGCGTGTGTATGTGCGCGCGTGAATGGTGTCATGTTTGCATGTGTGCATGGTGTGCATGTGTGCGTGTGTGCGTGTGTGGGCGTGTGTGCGTGTGTGGGCGAGTGGTTGTGTTGCGTGGTGTGTTGTGTCGTGTGGTGCGTTGTGTTCGTGTGTGCGTGTGGTTGCGTGTGTGCGTGTGTGCGTGTGTGCGTGTGTGCGAGTGGCGTGTGTGGCGTGTTCGCGTGTGCGCTGTGTGCGTGTGTGTGTGCGTTGAGTTGCGTGCGTGCGTTGCGTGCTGTGTGCGTGTGTGCGTGCGTGCGTGTGTGCGATGCGTGCGTGTGAGATTGTGTGTGCGTGTGGTGTGTGTGTGTGCGCGTGTGTGTGTGTGCGCGCTATGCTGTGCGCGTGTGTGTGGCGTGTTGTGTGTGTGTGTGTGCGCGTGTGCGCGTGGTGTGCTTGTGTGCGTGTGTGCGCGTGTGTGTGTGTGCAATGTGTGCGTGCGTGCGTGCGTGCGTGCGTGCGTGCGTGCGTGCGTGCGTGCGTGCGTGCGTGCGTGCGTGCGTGCGTGCTGCGTGCGTGCGTGCGTGCGTGCGTGCGTGCGTGCGTGCGTGCGTGCGTGCGTGCGTGCCTGCCTGCCTGCCTGCGTGCGTGGGTGGGTGGGTGGGTGGGTGGGTGTGTGTGTGTGTGTTTGTGTGTGTTTGTGTGTGTGTTTGTGTGTGTTTGTGTGTGTGTGTTTGTGTGTGTTTGTGTGTTTGTGTGTGTGTGTGTGTGTGTGTGCGTGTGTGCGTGTGTGCGTGTGTGCGTGTGTGCGTCTGCGTGGGCGTGTGTGTGTGTGTGGGTGTGTGGGTGTGTGGGTGTTTGGGTGTCTGTGTGTGTGTGCGCGCGTGCGCGTGCGCGTGCACTTGCGCCTGCGCGTGCGCCTGCGCCTGGGCCTGCGCGTGCGCCTGCGCCTGCGCCTGCGCGAGGGCGTGGGCGTGGGCGTGGGCGTGCGCGTGTGCCTGTGCGTGCGCGCGTGCGTGTGCGTGCGCGTGCGTGCGCCTGTGCCTGTGCCTGTGTCTGTGTCTGTGTCTGTGTGTCTGTGTCTGTGTCTCCGTCTCTGTCTGCGTGTCTGCGTGTCTGCGTGTCTGCGTCTCTGTGTCTGCGTGTCTGTGTCTGTGTGTCTGTGTGTCTGTGTGTCTGTGTGTCTATGTGTCTGTGTGTCTGTGTGTCTGTGTGTCTGTGTGTCTGCGTGTGTCTGTGTGTGTGTGTCTGTGTGTGCGTGTGTCTGTGTGTGTGTGTCTGTGTGTGTGTGTGTTTGCATCTTTGTCTCTGTGTCTGTGTCTGTGTGTGTGTGTCTGTGTGTGTGTGTCTGTGTGTGTGTGTCTGTGCGTGTGTCTGTGTGTGTACACTCTGGTCAAAAGTCGCTTGTAGTCCCTGTCCAGTCCACTACAGCCCCGCAACGCAAACTCAAAGGAAATGACCACATGCACCGATCTTGGTCCTGACACATGCCCTGACGTACTGCGGATTGCGCGGTTGAAGATCATCACTGGTTGTGCTAGGTTGTAGTTGGCAGGCAGCAGCGGATGGATGGGAATGATTGGCAGAGGTTGACTATGCCAAAGAATAGCTGTGACAGTTCGTGTCTGCTTGGATGCTTTGGACTGTTGGATATTGCACGTTGGCTGCCAGCTGTTGCTGGCTGTTGAGTGCTTGTTGTTGAAGGCCGTGGGTGATTTTGGGGCAGCTGCTGGGTGGGGCTGTTTGCAGTTGGTGGTCGTTGGCAGTCGGTTGCACCGGCAGCTTGCTGCCTGAAAATGGCAACACCGACCCATTGGAAAGGATGGCAAGCCTCTGGTCCGCCCGCTCCCGCTCGCTGACCCGCCTCAAGGCAAACCCTCGCTGGCTTGCACTGTCCCGAATCAAGCCAGCTCAACATCAAGGCGTTTGCTCAGGGATGATCGGACCAAAGCTTGAGCTTCCAGCGCTTTGCTCAAGACACACCTCTCCCGACAGCATTTGCATGTGCATTGTCGGCTTGGGAGCAGACTCGCGGAGGCGTCTCTCCTCCTCTCGACCGCATTGTGTTCCGTAAATCCAACTGCTTCCCATGACAAAGCCCACTTTTTTGAGATAGGACAAACAAAATCATATGAGCACAGCATTTGAGCCTTCTTGGGAATGCCTCTGCACTACTGAAAGACCACGCCCGGATATAGCCCGCGTCGGCCGCTGGAATCACTGCCACTGGGTACACCTAAATCGCTCTACCGCTCCTCGTCAGCTTTCCTTTGCCTGGGCATACGGCAATCGTAATCTAAACCAAGTATCACTATCACCCCTGTAAATTGGCTGGGCCCCCTCATATGCAGCCAGGAAATGGGATGCATGTGAAGCAAGTCGTCATGATCAGTGATCCAGGTTGATGAGACTACCGCTGACTTACGTTCCCTGGGCCAGTATGTGTTCCGTTGCAGTTGCCATCGTAAAAGCAGCATGTGTTCCGTGCGCAAAACTCCTTGCATCGAAATTGGTTTTGTAGTGGGCATCCAAGGGATAGACAACCACCCCGTTCAACCACATTTCATCGTGTGCACATCCTCATGCGTAGCCGAAATTTTAACTCAACTTCCGCGGGCCATCGGCCAACGGCGAGCTCTGGGGCGTCCCACTGCTCCCGCCTGTCCTCCTCCCGACGGCCTAAGGCGCATGAAGTAGCCGGAATGAAACCTTTCACAAGCACGCCATATATATATGTACCAGTCCCTGGGCCACGTACCCCCCCCCCCCCCCCCAATGGTATGGTCCCCCCATTCCCCCGCATCATCCGCATCTTGGGGATGATGCTGGCAATGCTGGGGATGCTGTCCAGTACCGTGCAAGCCCTGCAGCTTCGGTCCCAGACCCCCTTTCACCCCGTGAACCAACACCCCCGCACCTCTCGCAACATCCTACCCTAAACCAAACCACCCTGCAACCCCTCCTTTACCCCAACCCTAAGCCTAAATCAACCCAAACCCCAAACCCACCCGAAACCCACCGCAAACCAACCCTGAACCAACCCTGAACCAACCCTAAACCAACCCACCAAGCCTAAACCAACTCCGAACCACACCCCAACCACCCAACCACCCAACCACCCAACCACCCCACCGCCCCACCACCCCACCACCCCACCACCCCACCACCCCACCACCCCACCACCCACCCCACCCCCCACAGGGGGGGGGGGGTTGGCCCAACCACCCAACCACCCAACCACCACCCCACAACCCCACCACCACCCCACCACCCACCCACCCCACCCCCACAGGGGGGGGGGGGTTGGGGAGGGGGGGGGGGGGTCCACGGCCTGGAACATATATATATATATATAGATGCGTGTTTTGTATGCGAATACATGCGCGCACACGTGCTCATCGAAATGTCTTACATTATGTTTGCATGTATATGTTGTGTGCGCGCGCGCACACACACACACACACACGCCCGCCTGCCCGCCCGCCCGCCCGCCAGCCCGCCCGCCCGCCCGCCCGCACGCACGCACGCACTCACGCACGCACGCACGCACGCACACACGCCGGACGCACGCACGCACGCACTCACGCACCCACGCACGCACGCACGCACGCACCCACACACACACACACAGAGAGAGAGAGACACACAGAGAGAGAGAGAGACACGCACACGCACACGCACACGCACACGCACACGCACACGCACACCCCCACACCCACACACACACACACACACACACACACACACACACACACACACACACACACACACACACACACACACACACACACGGACGCACGCGCGCAACACCCGACGCGAGCAAACAGAACAAGCTCAAATGAAGAAACAAAAAGAAACAAAAATGAACAAAAGAAAAAAAAAAACCAAGAAACGAATAAAAAACAACAATCAACTCACCAAAACCACCCACAAAAAAAAAGAGACCATATATACAAGAAAAACAAAACATAGCAAGAATCTAACAAAAGACCAAAGCACAACAAAAAACCAACAAAATACATAACTTGACACCACAAAACCCTTGACCGAATCCCCTACACGAAACACAAAACAAAAACTGACATACCTTCCGAAGAAGCAAGTCAAGGCTTCGATTCTCTGGTACACCATTCTGAATCTCGGAAAGTGATCCCGCTCTTGCCTTGCAAAGGAGCATCTCTGCAGCGTTACTGTTAACTTCGGATCAACACGGAGGACCCTACAAGTTAGCGGAACCTCTCAGAATACATAACATGATTTTCTTACTTAAATGAGAAGCGCCCCCCCGATTTGCAAAGTCCTTCGGGTGAATCAGAAGTTAGCAATTCCAGTGTATTTGGGGTTGAGGCGTTGTGGGCTCCAATTCTAAGCTGAGGATTGGTGTGCGGAAAGCATGCAAAAGATGGAGGACCCGGCGTGACTCCTCTTGTTCTCGCTCGCGATTCCTGTCCTCCTCTCTGCGCCTTGCAGACACGTGGTGCGACGGAAAAGGCGGGATCCACTTCCATGATTGGAAAGAGGTCCCCCCAGGTAGCAGCTTGTTGACATGAGTTGATCAACTTCAATTTGAATGGGTACAAGATTGCACCGTGCATGGTCCAATTCAGAAAACCCACGAAGGCTGATACCCGCCCTGAGTCAATTCAACAGCCCGGCAATTGAATTGGTTGAGCGAGCGCCCCGAGCCCATCCCATCCTCCCATCTACCAGGTACCCCTCATCTCTTCTCATCTCATCTTTCTTTTTCACTCAGCCCATGTCTCCGTGAGCGACATACTGAGCGAGCGTTCTTCGCGCAGGCCCCTCAGGAAGAGCTCCAAACCTCGCCCAGACACGGGAGCCACCCGGCCAAGCATTTGCCGACGACCACTGGCACCTCTTCAAAACCACAAATACATTGAAATCATAACCCTGAAGACCGTTGGAATGGGGCTCTACCCGTGTTGCCCCGCACTGCTATCTCCAAGATGTGTGACTATAATTTTGAGCCAGGACACTGGACGAGGGCCTCGCTCGTGCAAATGGTACATGGTCAGGGCCGCTGCACCTCAGTCCAGAAATCAAGGCGCCGTCTCCAAGCGGCTGGCTTGACTTGGCTTTACCCTTTTTGCTACCTCAGCGTTTACCCTCCGCTAAAAACGGCATGATCAGATTCGGTCCGGACTCCCGCTCAATATTGGCGTAAACCACCGCAACAGACTGCCACAAGGGGGTCCTCGTAAGGGCGTGTCCCAAACAACAACCCCCTCCAAGCCACCAAAGAATGAAACAGGCAAAAACCAAAAAAAAACAAAAAACAGCACCCTCCCAGCGGTGGTTGTTTCATGTCCGAGCTGCAGGGCGCGCCAGGCGCGCAGCACCGGAGCCCCGCGCGCCCGCAGCTCTGCCCAAGCCGCCACGGCCGCTTCTTGGCGGCGCCTGGCCGGGCAAAAACCTTGCTGTTCAACATGGGCCAAAACAGTTCGGTACTTATGAATCTCATTTTGCCCCACGCCCCAATTCAAACGGGTGAGGGGCAAAGAATGTCGGGGGCGTAAGTCCGCGCAAATGAACGTCAACGAAAAATGCAAGCAAGAAGGCCAAAGAACTGTGTAGCGGAGATGCAATTTCGCTGCAGAAACAGGGCAAAGTTGCACATGATTCCTTCTATATGTGTTTCCTTTACAATGCGGCTTGAGTCTTCGTCCTCAAATGGGATTGCAAGACTGCTGTACATTTTCTGTTGAGGTTCATTTGCGCGGACGTACGCTGCCGACTCTATTCGTGAGCTGAATGTGAAAATCATGGGTCACGCCTCGTTGGCTCTTGGGAGAACCTCAGGGTTTTGACCGAAAGTGTCTACCAAGCATGCGGTGCTTCTCTAGTCAGTGGTTTCCTTCTGGTAACTCCGTTGGCTTGATTTCAAAGGAAACAATGGCCAAACTAAAAAAACACTTTGAACGACGAGAGCCTGAACGCCCCTGACCGAGTAAACAGGGCTTTGTACAACTTGGGGTTCCAACAGCCAAAATTAGGCTGCCTCTCGTTGCTTCCTTTTTGCGGGGGACCAACGGTCCCAAGCAAAGCGTGCCCCATTTTTGGGAGCGAGCCACTCAACCCGCTAGACCTTTCGCCGATGTGCCACTTTCGCCGCTTCGCTCGCTCGCTCGCCACGCCGCTTCCCGCCCGCCGCACGCCGCGGGCCTGGCGCGGCAGAGCTGCCGGGCGCTCAGCTGACGCAGCGCCTCCCGGCGCGTGGCGCCATGGAAGAGCTCCAGGGCCTCGGCCTGGCGCCGCCGGGCGCGGAGCTGCCGCGCCACAGCGCCCCGCCAGGCCTCACGAAGCTTCGGAGAGGCGAACGGATGCACAACTCGAGATCTCTGAGAAAACTAGGCAGAAAAAATGGCCTCAAGGGCAAAAAGGGCCGGAAAATGAGAACTTTCAGCTTTCGCCATCCCCCCTTCCAGGGCAGTAATTGACATACGCTTGGCTCAAATCGGTTCCCCCGTGCACGGGCCCGAATCTTAGATTCGTTTGGCCCAAAACCAAAAAGGGGACTGTCATCGGATGGACCGATGGACAAAAATAGGGAGAAGAGGAGCGCTCTACTGGAGACACCAACAACACCCGTCCATATCGCAGTGAATGGGATGTGTGTCCACCAACCGCTTTTGAGGTGATTCTCTACGAAACTCATAGCCATATCAACCAAGCCGCCGACCAATTGGCACCGAGCTGGCGCCTCGCCCGCCACTTCATTGCTGCGCCATTGGCAGCCCTTTGCTGCACGACGTCTGCAATGCGCCGGCGCCAGGTGCAAAGCGCATCGGGCCTTGGGAAGGGGGTTTTAACAAAAGCAGCGGAATAGCGCTAGTAGCAGCACTCGGAGCCATTATGCTAAGTATGTGCTTCAAACATCGGCTAAACAAAAAACCTCGGGAGTGCATTGTGCATCCTGCATGCCAGCAAAAACCGTGCCTAGCCCAAAAATCACTTGCAAGAGCCATCCAGGTGGCCTCAGTCCTGTCTGTCCGATATATTACGCGCAAAAAAGGCGTCACTACTTGGACATCTGCAAAGAGTCTGAAGCACATAGAAAAAAACAGCTCCACCCTCCCGACCGAGCGAGTGGCCGCCGCCGGGCCAACAGCCGGCGCCGCAGGGTCCGCAGCTCTCGCTGCCGCTGGCGCCGCTGGGAGAGCCACAGGCGCCAGGCCTCCCAGGCCCGGCGCCCCAGCCTGCAGCGGGAAATCCTGCCAACCCCCACAAAACCCACAAAAGGGCTTGGGCGCTTGGGCGAACTTGGGCGAACTTGGGCGAACTTGGGCGAACTTGGGCGAACTTGGAGAAGATGGTGTAGATGCCCAAGTCTCGAGTCAAAGAGAAAAGGAGGAATGAGAAAAAGAAGAGGACAAATCAACGAGGACCAGAAAAACAACAGTAGCTTACCAAGATTGCCCACTGCAAAGAGTGCTGAATCTAGAGAGGCGCAAGCCTTTGACATGTTGCCCAGGTCCTTCAAAAGTGCTTTTGAACCGATAGATGGCACTTGTGCATGCTGAGAAACTGACTCCAGTGGAATCCATCTTTCAACCACACTGACCTGTTACGAGGACACCTCGAATGCTTCACATGGTGTCACTTGCGCTCGGCCCAGCCAAGCCTATGCCTTTAGACACCAGACACCTATGCGGATCGGGCATGACATGCCATGCATGTGGCCTGTCCCGCGCGAAGCAGGCGCTGCGCAGTGGCAGCGTGCGCCGCAGCGCGCGCGCGGCCGCGGACGCCGCCCAGCGCCCCAAAGCCCCGCGGAGCCGCGGAGCCCGCAGGCGGCTCCGCACCAACGCCTCTTGACGAGAACGCGCGCGGGCTGAGACGGCGTCTCCTGTTTGGGGGCTTCTGTCGCTTTCATTTCGGGGTTCCCCTCATGTGAAGACAAACCTGTCTTGTTTTGCAAAGTGTGATTGAAGACATTGAACAGCTTCAAGTTGAACGCGATACCTACGCTCGAGAAAACATCACAATGCCTCGGCCTGCTTAATTATTGTTGCGCACCTCTGGAAGAGATCTGCACAATAGTTGTTCACACCCACAGTGCAGGTCTTGCTTCCAATTTAGTGCAACGCAATTCGGAAAGATCCAGATCTATTCCAGCATGCAGTCCAAGCCCAAACCTCTGAGGGCTAGTTTTGTTGAAAAGACTAGCGGAAACATCCATTTGCGCACATGATTCCTTCTATATGTGTTTCCTTTACAATGCGGCTTGAGTCTTCGTCCTCAAATGGGATTGCAAGACTGCTGTACATTTTCTGTTGAGGTTCATTTGCGCGGACGTACGCTGCCGACTCTATTCGTGAGCTGAATGTGAAAATCATGGGTCACGCCTCGTTGGCTCTTGGGAGAACCTCAGGGTTTTGACCGAAAGTGTCTACCAAGCATGCGGTGCTTCTCTAGTCAGTGGTTTCCTTCTGGTAACTCCGTTGGCTTGATTTCAAAGGAAACAATGGCCAAACTAAAAAAACACTTTGAACGACGAGAGCCTGAACGCCCCTGACCGAGTAAACAGGGCTTTGTACAACTTGGGGTTCCAACAGCCAAAATTAGGCTGCCTCTCGTTGCTTCCTTTTTGCGGGGGACCAACGGTCCCAAGCAAAGCGTGCCCCATTTTTGGGAGCGAGCCACTCAACCCGCTAGACCTTTCGCCGATGTGCCACTTTCGCCGCTTCGCTCGCTCGCTCGCCACGCCGCTTCCCGCCCGCCGCACGCCGCGGGCCTGGCGCGGCAGAGCTGCCGGGCGCTCAGCTGACGCAGCGCCTCCCGGCGCGTGGCGCCATGGAAGAGCTCCAGGGCCTCGGCCTGGCGCCGCCGGGCGCGGAGCTGCCGCGCCACAGCGCCCCGCCAGGCCTCACGAAGCTTCGGAGAGGCGAACGGATGCACAACTCGAGATCTCTGAGAAAACTAGGCAGAAAAAATGGCCTCAAGGGCAAAAAGGGCCGGAAAATGAGAACTTTCAGCTTTCGCCATCCCCCCTTCCAGGGCAGTAATTGACATACGCTTGGCTCAAATCGGTTCCCCCGTGCACGGGCCCGAATCTTAGATTCGTTTGGCCCAAAACCAAAAAGGGGACTGTCATCGGATGGACCGATGGACAAAAATAGGGAGAAGAGGAGCGCTCTACTGGAGACACCAACAACACCCGTCCATATCGCAGTGAATGGGATGTGTGTCCACCAACCGCTTTTGAGGTGATTCTCTACGAAACTCATAGCCATATCAACCAAGCCGCCGACCAATTGGCACCGAGCTGGCGCCTCGCCCGCCACTTCATTGCTGCGCCATTGGCAGCCCTTTGCTGCACGACGTCTGCAATGCGCCGGCGCCAGGTGCAAAGCGCATCGGGCCTTGGGAAGGGGGTTTTAACAAAAGCAGCGGAATAGCGCTAGTAGCAGCACTCGGAGCCATTATGCTAAGTATGTGCTTCAAACATCGGCTAAACAAAAAACCTCGGGAGTGCATTGTGCATCCTGCATGCCAGCAAAAACCGTGCCTAGCCCAAAAATCACTTGCAAGAGCCATCCAGGTGGCCTCAGTCCTGTCTGTCCGATATATTACGCGCAAAAAAGGCGTCACTACTTGGACATCTGCAAAGAGTCTGAAGCACATAGAAAAAAACAGCTCCACCCTCCCGACCGAGCGAGTGGCCGCCGCCGGGCCAACAGCCGGCGCCGCAGGGTCCGCAGCTCTCGCTGCCGCTGGCGCCGCTGGGAGAGCCACAGGCGCCAGGCCTCCCAGGCCCGGCGCCCCAGCCTGCAGCGGGAAATCCTGCCAACCCCCACAAAACCCACAAAAGGGCTTGGGCGCTTGGGCGAACTTGGGCGAACTTGGGCGAACTTGGGCGAACTTGGGCGAACTTGGAGAAGATGGTGTAGATGCCCAAGTCTCGAGTCAAAGAGAAAAGGAGGAATGAGAAAAAGAAGAGGACAAATCAACGAGGACCAGAAAAACAACAGTAGCTTACCAAGATTGCCCACTGCAAAGAGTGCTGAATCTAGAGAGGCGCAAGCCTTTGACATGTTGCCCAGGTCCTTCAAAAGTGCTTTTGAACCGATAGATGGCACTTGTGCATGCTGAGAAACTGACTCCAGTGGAATCCATCTTTCAACCACACTGACCTGTTACGAGGACACCTCGAATGCTTCACATGGTGTCACTTGCGCTCGGCCCAGCCAAGCCTATGCCTTTAGACACCAGACACCTATGCGGATCGGGCATGACATGCCATGCATGTGGCCTGTCCCGCGCGAAGCAGGCGCTGCGCAGTGGCAGCGTGCGCCGCAGCGCGCGCGCGGCCGCGGACGCCGCCCAGCGCCCCAAAGCCCCGCGGAGCCGCGGAGCCCGCAGGCGGCTCCGCACCAACGCCTCTTGACGAGAACGCGCGCGGGCTGAGACGGCGTCTCCTGTTTGGGGGCTTCTGTCGCTTTCATTTCGGGGTTCCCCTCATGTGAAGACAAACCTGTCTTGTTTTGCAAAGTGTGATTGAAGACATTGAACAGCTTCAAGTTGAACGCGATACCTACGCTCGAGAAAACATCACAATGCCTCGGCCTGCTTAATTATTGTTGCGCACCTCTGGAAGAGATCTGCACAATAGTTGTTCACACCCACAGTGCAGGTCTTGCTTCCAATTTAGTGCAACGCAATTCGGAAAGATCCAGATCTATTCCAGCATGCAGTCCAAGCCCAAACCTCTGAGGGCTAGTTTTGTTGAAAAGACTAGCGGAAACATCCATTTGCCCCACAAAGAATGCACGTCAAAAACGGGGCATCCCGCGAAGGGCCACCCCGAAGCACTTCCGACTGCTCCGGCGCGGCCTTGTAGGGCTTCTCGGCCCTGGCGGCCGCGAGCCACCGTCCCAGCGCCAGCGCTGCCCGGCGCCGCTGCAAGCAACGCCGCAGCCGAGCCTGCAGCCTGGCGGAAGGCCTTCGCAAAACTGAACATGCTCCATATGGTCCCACATGTTCCACTCAATGACTCAACATGCCAACTTGGATTGCCTTCAAGCTTGACAGGCATCACCTGAGTTTTGAGTGCTCATTTTGCAATGAGTCGTTCTCCCACGCACAGCTTCATATCTTGCAAGCGAGCCATCCCAGAGGTGGGGCACCTCCACCAACGAGCTTGGGCTCGCCACAAAGCCAAGGCGTTGGCGCAAGCATGCTGCCGCCGCGCCTCCTTCGCATGCGCATTTACTGGTGAACAGCACGGGGCGTTTGCGCAGCCTTGAAACACCCCTCAAAACTCTTGAGACCCTTTTTTCTCAGTCGCAAGTTGCAAGTCTTGCAAGTCTTGCAAGTCTGGTCAGCTGTGGCGTGCATACACCGTTCCGTGCTATCCGAGCAAAGAAGGCCTTGCAGTTACACTAATAGCTAATGGGCAAACATCACTAGCTGGGGCTCTCCACTGGGCTAGCCTGCAAAAGGCATTTGACATGTCCCCGTCCTGTGCCGCCGTAGCCAGGTGTCTCAGGATCGCAGCCTGAGCCGCAAGGTCTTGGAAACAAAACCAGGTGCCTACCAAAACGATGACTCAGAGATAGATGTAGAGGGACTGCAGCGTCAAGCCTAGAGACAACCCCCATGTCTTGTCTGGGAACAAAGAGAGGCGAAGCTGAAGAGGAAGAAGCAATGAGTGATGGAGAAGCACCAAAAAGAAGCAGAGAGTATCTTCTTCAGATACTTACCCCCAAGCTCAAAGGAATGCGCCTAGATCTGGGTGGTATAGCCAGACGCTTGAAATGTCGGGCTGTTTTGCGTCCAGAACGGGCTCCTTTTTTGGGGCCGGCGCAAGCCGCCTTGCGGCTGTCGACGGCTCGCCTGAGACAGCTCGGGCGGGATGCTCATGGCGGGCTCCCGAAGGCCAAGACCTACGCGGCACGCCGGACGGGCCGCCGACGGGCCGACATGTCGGCATCCCTTGGGCCCCGCAAAAGCGAAGATCCGAAAGGTCCGAAAGACGAAGCAACGTTCAAACAAACCGATATGTTCAATGGCTGGAAGCACTAGCCTGGACCAGTCAGCTTCACTTTGTGAACCTCTCAAGCATTGGATGGGCATCCGGCTTCCGTCACTCTCTGTGACTCTGCCAGCCTCCAAATCATGGCGCACTCATGGCGCACGGCTCATGGCTCCGTCCGGGCTCTGCTTTGTGTTTGTTTCTGGTGCTCGTGGCTGAAGGGACGAACAGATGCTTTTGCCAAATGCAACTTCCCCAAAAGGGCCCCACTTGGCAGTGCTGGTGAAAAGATCCACATTTGCGGGAATGTGCAAGCGCAAACATGTGACCAGCCATCTTTGGGCGGCTAATATCCGGCCTTCCAGTTGCCATGAATATGGCAGGCCAAATGTCGCAGCAGAATGACGGTCCAACAAACCCACAGCCTCAAACCTCTCAGCAGCAAGTGGTCATGGTGCTCTGTCATACGTGACACAGGCTCTCCTTTCATAGCACGATTCCCACCAAATGCTGACGATGCATGAGATCTTCCATCTGACCTCAAGGTATCCTCATCAAACAAACAGCCATGACGAAGAGCAGGTGATCAGGAAACAAAAATGCAACAAACATGCAAGGCGGCTCCCGTGGTCACATGCACTTCTCTGACATCCTGCCTGGCCAGATCCCTCTCCTCCTGAAACTGCTCAAGTGGAAATCTGTTGGATGGTATATGGCACTGTGACAGAAGGGACCCCCTCTGGTTGTACTCAAAGTGAGTACTATTGCTCTGTCCCAATCAGGCAACCTTCAACTTCAAGCTCCTCTGGTTTGACACGATTCCGTGAGAGAGAGAACAGGGGATTTGGGTTGCTTGCACCGTCCTCTTCTTGTTTCCGCTTCTCTTCCTGAAGTCAGAATGCATATTTGGCAAAACTTCACGCCACAAGCCGGGCCTCTCGGCGATCCTTGTCTCGCTGCTCCTGGCAGTAGGCGCAGTTTCTCTGGCAGACAATTGAACGCTCCAAAGGCTGGCTGAATCTTGCCATCCCGAACCGTCCCCGGAAAGAGCTCAACTCCAAAACTGCATCGGCAGGGGTCACATTTGTCAAACTGCCCGAAATCGAAGCCTTGGCCTGGTGACCACAGCCACGAAGAGTGATTGCAAGCCACATGCATATGTTGCGTTGAGTGCAGCACGTAGCTGCCATCTGAGAGTCTGGAGTCTAATTCACTCACCAGTTGAGGGAATCATCAAAAGCTGCCACAACTGCCCAATACGTTTACTTAATGCCCGCGCCAAGCACCTCTTTGCTTGCCATCGCGCGTGCTTGGTTGCTCGATTGATTGCTTGCTTGCTTGCTTGCTTGCTTGTTTGCTTGTTTGTCACTTGCTTGCTTCGTCTGGTATTGCTGCACAATGTTGCTTGCTCTTTCTTACTTTGTTTGCAGTGGATGTCTGTTGCCCTCTCCCTTATTCATGCCTTGTGCTTTTTTTGTTGCCCTTGCTTCTGGCATGCAAATTTACATTCCAAGTGGGAAATTGCACAAGTAGCACTTTCTGCACTCTCCATCGTTTCTGATTGTTTTGGCCACGTGATTTGACATTTGGCGGCTCGCAAGCGTTACAGGGGAGTATCCCCTGCAAAAATGGAAAGTTGGCGCGCAGCGCTCTAGCAAGCAAGCCCGCACCAAGCTCTACCCCTTTGCGCCCTAGAGCTACCTGTTAGATATCACTGTAGCCATTTTGGCTCAAAGTACTGTTCTGGCCTTAGCTTCAAAGCTGGCCTTTTTGAGTAAACGTTTGCTGCTTTTTCGCTGTCTCTCGCTTTCCCGCCGTGAGTCGGCTGTTGTGCTCACATACTGAATGTTCCAAACTCTTCAAGCCTTCAGCCCCCCCACCCAGCGAGTGGACCAAAAAGTCCCCGCACTTCTTGACCAGCCTGCCGTTGCCGCTCCGCTGCGGCCTCGGCCTGGCTGATAAGGGACCAAAACCGGCGCAGATTCCCAGCCGCTCGACGTCAGACCCTTTTGGTACGGAAAGCGGGGGCTCCTTTGGCACGTTTCTCTTGGACTTGACTGTTTAGATTGAGAACCCCCCGAACATTCAAAGGTCTCCAGCTCCTCAGACATGGGGCTAACCAGTTCCAGTTGGAAGCTCTCACCCTCGAGAGCCTTTGAGCCAGGATCCTTGAGCACTCCAACTTAAACGGCTTAAACAAAAAACAGGCGATGAATGAGCCTTGAGCCCGACTTGTCGTACCCTGAAATCTCAGAAAGCATAGGCTGTCGCACCCTCGCCTCACGTCTGGCTTCTTCTCGCTTCTCCTCCACCTTCCGGGCCTCTTCTTTGCGGGCCTCCTCCTGTCCAAAGCTCATCTTGAAAGTTTGTGCCGAAATGGGACTCAGCCCATGCCAAGGACAGCTGTGCTTTTTCCAACCTCCTTCTTGGCATCCTCTTTCGCCTTGTCGTGCCTTGGCGCGAAGTGGATCTTTGCGTTTGGCGGTGCACTTTGCAAACCATCGATCGCATGCTTCTGACCTCGGTAGTGGAATGCTCAGCCCCAAACACGTGGAATCTGTCACTCCCAACAGACCGGCTTCATCGGAATCCAAGTGCACGGCCCCCCGGCTGCTGCCTGCAGTCTTCCGTACTCGCAGGAAGCGAGGGGAAGCTCAACGATCGGGCTTCTTTGTGGCTTCGCTGATGTTAGCAGCTTCCTGCAGCTCCTTCTTTTCGTGTGAGGGTTACAGTCCCACTACTCAATTGGAAGCTATGCTGATGGCACGCATGCTACGAAGCTTGTGCAGTGGGCCAATCACTGACGGCATCGGCGACATGTCGGAAATGTCATGCTGGCGAGGCCAACCGGCCTCAACCTCAAGAAGACTCGGGTGTAAGCATCAGATCCCCTCACATCTCAACATGTCATAACTCCCGTATTTCTGTGTAGCAGCGGTTCCGAGAGCCTCCTGCTGGTATATGAAGTCATGGAGCCTCAGTCGAGCTCAACTTCCTGTCTCCGCGCCTTTGGCTCAGGGACATGCTGGCGAGGCCAACCGGCCTCAACCTCAAGAAGACTCGGGTGTAAGCATCAGATCCCCTCACATCTCAACATGTCATAACTCCCGTATTTCTGTGTAGCAGCGGTTCCGAGAGCCTCCTGCTGGTATATGAAGTCATGGAGCCTCAGTCGAGCTCAACTTCCTGTCTCCGCGCCTTTGGCTCAGGGACCAGGCTGCTTCGCCTGATCATCTCCCGCGTGGTCCACGAAGTACCTCCACTGCTCACAGCTCCAGCTCCCTTCCCACATTTCAAAAGCATGTCAAGCGCGTCACGCCCCCCGCCCCCCCTTCCCCAAACCCCCAGCTTCTGGGATGACAGCTCTTGCAGCAAGGGCGGCGCACCCGGTTGAAGGCTCAATCGGCGACTCAGCTGCACAAATGTGCAACTCGCGGGAATCCCCAAATTTTGATATTGCCCCTTCAAGTGGCCAAAAAGCCACCAAATACATATGATCAAAGGAAGTTTAGAAGGAACTTCCGTGTTGCGGATACTAATTGAAGGTAGCTTGCGCAAGCGGGGCCCACTGTCACGGCAACACGGAGGTTTCGCAGGGTTTGAATTTCGTTGCAGGCGCAGCATTTTGGCAAGGTCAAGTACAGATTTCGTGGCAGGCGCGGCATTTTCTTGCTTCTGGCACGGACGCATCGCAAATCCCATTGGCACGGACGCGCAAGGCGGCGCACGCAGATTTCGTGGCTGGGGCAGCATTTTCGCAAGGTCAGGTACACATTTCGTGGCAGGGGCAGCATTTTCGCAAAGGTCAAGCACAGATTTCGTGGCAGGGGCAGCATTTTCGCAGGGTCAAGTACGTATTTCGTGGCAGGGGGCAGCATTTTCGCAAGGTCAAGTACAGATTTCGTGGCAGGCGCAGCAATTTCGCAAGGTGAGGTACAGATTTCGTGGCAGGCGCAATACTTTTGTGATCGAAGGTACGATTACATTTTTCCAGTTGCTCGCAAAAGTTAAGTACAAAAGTAGTATTCGAAGTACACTTCTCCAGCTGCAGCTCGAAAATGGGAGAAGTCAAGTACAAAAGTAGTTTTCGAAGTAGATATTTTGATGAAGCAAGCTACATAGATAGATAGCTAGATAGACATCTAGATAGATACCTACATAATTAGATAGCTAGATAAATTGCTAGACAGACATCGTGCCAGATAGATAGATGGATAGATGGCAAGATAGCTAGATAGCTAGATACAGAGACAGATAGAGAGATAGAGAGATAGATGGAAAGATAGAGAGATAGAGAGATAGAGAGATAGAGAGATAGAGAGATAGAGAGATAGAGAGATAGAGAGAGATAAATAGATAGATAGGTAAGATTCATAAATAGATAGCTACCTAGATAAATAGATAGACAGACAGATAGATACATAAATAGATACATAGATAGATAGATAGGTAGGTAGATAGATAGATGGAGAGATAGAAAGATTGACTGATGGACAGGTTGATAGATAGATAGATAGATAGATAGATAGGTAGATAGATAGATAGATAGATAGATAGATAGATAGATAGATAGATAGATAGATAGATAGATGAGATAGAGGGATGGACAGATAGAAAGGAAGCAAAAAAAAAAGGAAGAACCAAAGAAAGAAAGAAGAACAAGAAAGAAAGAAAGAAAGAAAGAAAGAAAGAAATAACGAAAGAAAGAAAGAAAGAAAGAACGAAAGAAAGAAAGAAAGAAAGACAGACAGACAGATAGATAGATAGAGAGGTAGTAGAGAGATGGATAGATAACTAGCTAGCTAGCTAGCTAGCTAGATAGACGGATAGATAGATACATAGGTAGATAGATAGATAGAAAGATTGATTAGATAGATAGATAGATAGATAGACAGACAGACAGACAGACAGATAGATAGATAGATAGATAGATACATAGATAAGTAGGTAGATAGATAGATAGATAGATAGATTAGCTAGACTAGCTAGATAGATAGATAGATAGATAGAAGATAGACAGACAGACAGACAGACAGACAGACAGACAGACAGACAGACAGACAGACAGACAGACAGACAGACAGACAGAAAGACAGACAGACAGACAGACAGACAGACAGACAGACAGACAGACAGACAGACAGACAGACAGACAGACAGACAGAAAGACAGACAGACAGACAGACAGACAGACAGACAGACAGACAGACAGACAGACAGATAGATAGCTAGATCGATAGATAGATAGAGAGATAGATAGATGGATGGATGGATGGATGGATGGATAGATAACTGGATAGATAAATGGATAGATAGATAGAGAAGAGAACAGCGCAAAAACGCTGCAAAAGAAAGACCGACAGAAAAGACAGAAAACCAAGAAAGGAAAGAAAAAAGGACGGAAAGAAAGAAAGAAAGAGAAAAGAAAGAAAAACACAAAGTCGTTCCTATAGTTGTATACTGTATTGAAGCTTCCGCCTCCCGGCTTCGCCGGCTATACTGGTATAGAATTATATGTATATGACATGGGGACCCCTGACTCGATCAGAACACAGCATCGTCCTGATGACTTTCCAGAGCCCACCAAGGATCGGGGTCGGGCAGAGCCCCGATCTGAGGCCCGAGCATATGACCAGCGTGGCTGTGAGGCTGTGTGCAAGTGAGCAACAGCCTCAGCATCTGGCAAGTTGCAGCCAGCTGTGCAGAGAACTGAAATTCACAATCGTCCTAATGCTTCGCTTTAACATGTATGTGCTCTTGTGTGATGGGTGTTCGAACCCATTTCCCAACATTCCTGGTCTTGCTTGCGGAGTTGCCATGCACCCCATGCACCGGCACTTTACTGCCTTCAAATCTGTAGAACATCCCCCAATCCCCGGCAACTATTGGGTGATGGAAAACTCCTTCGCAATGGGCTCTTCGATTTGGCATTTCTAGGTGCCCGGCCACAACCCCTGATTCTGTGAGCAGCTCCACACGCTGATCCTGGCAGGGATGGAGCCCATCGCTGAGGGAGGTGCGCGTCTTTCGGAATCCCTACGGCTCTGTGCCCTCGGAAACCGAAAAGTGTCCATTCCCCCCGGCCAAACAGAGGAAACACAGATCCTCTCTGCCACATGGGGACTGGTGTCCAAAGATTCGCCCGGCTTTCCAGCTGCCTTGAAGTTCTCATCTTCGCCGAAAGCATCGAAGTTCAGGAAAGCCACTCCTGCAGCAAGACAGCTTTATACATACAATATGCAGTAGAGTCTAACAAATCAAGTCATGTCATTATGAAATGAAACTTTATGCAGGGTAATTTCATATCGCCTGCTTCTCCACGTTGGTGTGCTGAATGAGAACCGGAGAGTCCATGGAACAAAAAAGGAGACCTGGGGTTGCCTGGGGTGAGTTGAGCTGCTTTCCAGACACGGGCTCAGGATCAGTCACCAGCCGGGCACCTACAATCAGCATCTGACCAAAGGCAAGATGCCCAACATCACACCCTCTCACCGCTCCAAGGCAGCTCAAACGCAATGATCAGATCATGCACAGGACGGCCAACTTTCAGAAGGGAGGGACTCTTTCAGAAGTGTCGCCAACACAGTTGCGCCACGCGCGCCAAACTGCAGCAAGCACGGTGTTGATAGTTGCGTCTCTTTCAAAGTCGGCGGCGCAAAGCAAGCTCTAACCATTATTTCATTCGCGACGCATTTGGGGATCGCTGATTTTCTCAAGCCCCAAGTTCTATGCAATCTGTGCGAGTCATGGAAACCACCGAAAACCAAAGACCGGCTCAGTAGCAACGGGTGAAGGACCGCTTGGCCTGTTATTATCAGTCGCATTTGCGATCGGTGTCGCTCAGTCGCTCTTCAAATGGCATTCGATGCACTTGCATCAGTCGTCTGTCGATGTCACAAGGCCGAAACCACCTATGCTGCGTGCAAACGACTCAAAGGTGGCAATCGGACGAAATCGCAGCCCAAAACGGAATTACTGCCCAAGTTGGGCATCAGGTACAATGCTGCATGCTGCTCGTAACATCTCGTAACAATGGGTACTGCAATCTAAGCCCTGCTCTTCTCTCGCCGGGTCCTATATGATTATCATCCACGCAGAGTGTCATGGTCACGTCTTGCGACCGCTTGGGAAGCTCTGGCATGGTGATACCTAAGATGAGTCAGACAACACTGATCTCCTGCTGTACAAGGCCGCGGCTAAAAAAGCAGCAGTAGCTGCAGCGAACCTGGCAGCGCTTGCAAGGCAGGCCTCCCTCTTCCAGAGCGGAGCCCAAGACATGCTTCGGCCATCGCCGGAATCGAACACTGGCATTGACTCCAGCTGCCAGTCATCTGAACCATGACGGGATGACAGGCTCCTTGGTGAGCGTAAAGTTCCTGCACAAGATGGGGCGCCTATCCTCGCCATCTGAGATTCTGAGTATCCAGGTAGGGCAGTGAGGTTGGTCCTTTTGCCACCTGTTGGGTCAGTTTGGCCTATCTCGAAAAGGAAATTCCACAAGAAGTGGTTGATACGCTGTTCCAAGAGGGCACCATGACATACCAAACATGGCTTTTGCATAGGTTCCTGTGGCCCGCCTCTCTCTGCTGTTTACACGTGCAAACAATTGGGTGCTTTTTCCACCAAGCTGTTTGCAAGTGGAAACAGCAAAGAAAGGGGGCTATCAAACCTCTGCAAATGCCATGTGTGGCGGGTTGATTAGAAGGAAAGCAAGTGTTTCTTTGCTTTCGGTGGAAAAGTTGAAGACCCGGAAGTATTGGCTGTATCGGCTGCATCTGCCATGGGATCCGCGGCAGATGCTCACCTGCCTGTGTGTGGATTCACAATGCAGCGTATCCCAGAAGCCAAGCGTAACTTCTTGCATATTACTATACTGAGCCTCCACAAGAGGCTTCCAGGCTGCCGTGTGTGCAGTTATTTGCAAGAAGCCTTTATTCATGTTCCCTCTCTGCAGTTTTTGCCCCTTCACACCCTGAGGCAGCCGCTGAGAGCAGTGGCATTGCTCGCCCACATACCAAAATATGGCCTCGGCGTTTCCAGGGCCTTGCCGAAACACCATTCAACAACCCTGATCACTGTCCCGCTGCTGTCATCCGGAGCCCATCGAGGGTAATTCTCACTGGCTCAAAAAAATACCAAGATATCTAGCAACGACACCGGCCGAACCAGGCGGCCACGCAAGCCAAGGTCATAAGTTTCTGAGTGCCCCTGCAACTTCTGACCCGATCAGGTCTGCCTTGGCCCAGGAAAGCTGTATGATATACCCTCCCAAACATGGAAACTTGCCAGGGGTCCCTTTAAAGGAAAATGGTCCTCCAACCCCCTGTCAGGTTCCACGTGAATTGGTGGGAGGGTACCTTCCGCGGCATCGAGCTGAGGTCTTGGCTGCCGAGTCGTCCAGCTGCAGCTTGTCCTGGGAATGAGAGCTGCCCTTCACCTTCACTTTGCATCTTGGTTTCCCATGGGCATTGAACATGGACTTGCCTTTCGCACCAGCCAGAGTTTGTGGTTCCGCCTGTTGTTGGCACCCCCACAAAACGCACAGGCAGCTTCCATCTTGGATCTCCCTGGAGATCATGAAGGACATTTGGGAAATCCAGCAGTCCATCTCCATACAAAGAAGACAGAGAGAAACAGCCATCCCATTGGACAGTCCGAGCATGTGAAAAGGCACATGGATACTGCTGCCTCTTGATGGCTTCAAGCCAAGGCGCAACATATAAAATGTAGAGCAGCGTCTTCCCATCCGGATCAAACTGCACGCCCGCCATGCGGAGCGCGCGGAGCGCGCGCAAGCCGCGCGGGGCGCGCGAGAGCCGCGCGTACCTGGGCCTATCAACACTTTGGAAAATAAAAAAGCTTCTGCGCAAAAGGCGCGCTCGGAGTCATGGGAAAACCGCAGAGATATCACAAATGCCTACAACGTTGTCGATTTGCGGCGGTTGAAGAAAGAAGATTGCCCAAGCCCATCTAGGCAAAACGCACGTGACTTCCATCTGATACTTTACAGAGGCGCTGGCTGAGCCGAAAATCACAAGGACAGCCGAAAGCTGGGGAAAAAGAAGGGCCTGTTTCCTGGTGAAAGATCCTCAGCGAGCGAGCGAGTTTGTTGCTTAGCCAATTTGCCGCTGCGCCAGCCATTTGGCTAGTTGGCTAGGCAAGTTAGCTAGACTAGTTAACATGTGCGATCTGCTGCTTGAGCTGCTTGGAAACCGAGAAATCAATTTATCCATTACAACAACCGGACGGGAGCGGATGGACGTCCTTAGTCTATGACATCCAAATCCGAGTCTGACTTTGGAAACTAAAAACGAGCTAAAAACAAGAAGAATAAAAAACATAGCCACTCAGCGAACAATCAAAACGAACAACAAAAAAGATAAACAACTGGAAAGAAGACAGGAGCGTGCACAGTGGAAAGCAGCGGCAGGGGTCGGGAAGAAACGAACAATCAGTCACAAAAACAAACAAATATAACTCAAAATGAGCAAACAATAAACCAAAAAACAAAACACACAGACACAGAAACAAACAGATTCAGGCCCCTACCACAAAGGCACACCCATATATGTATATCTAACTATACATACATATTGCATAACCATACATATATAATTCTGTCTTCCGCTGCTTTCGCCATGCAGGGAAAACAGCCCGTTGACGCGTTCAACTTTACAGTGAAAGCTGGGCTTACAAAACCCTTCGGATCTGCCTCTGTTACTTTCCAAACAGCGCCAAACTATGTCAACACGTAGAAGCGTAGTTCGCCAAGCTCCAGCTCAACAGTCGAAGTTGTTGTACTAATGCGCGCGCAAAGTTCGACCGCACTTGGCGGCTCCAGCTCAGCAGTCGCAGCTTTACAGCACGCGAAGTGCACGTTGGCGGCTAAAGCTTGAACATCGTACAGGAGAAGCATGGCACTTTGACAGTTTAGACAAAGGGCGCAAAGGGCGCTCCGGCTCCAAAAGCGTGCGGACACCTCTGGACCTCCGAACCTTTCGCGAAGGTTTCGCCATGCTTCCCGCCAACCAACAAAGTTCCAGGCGCCCACGGTGAGTTGGCACCAATTCTCCCAAAAACAGTGTCCCGGCGGCCGCGATTTGGGTGTATCACATGGTTCTTCTGAAATCGCAACGGATGGCTTCAGCCCTTGCGCAAAAGCTTGGTTCGCCATTGCAGTGAAAAAGAAGTCTTCCGAAAAGGCCAGAAGGGGGTGTTGGACGATCCTCATACATTGATAGCTCAATTGGATCTGGTACCACCAAAGCTCTTGTTGAAACTTCCTGTGGCCTTGACAAAGATTTCCTCATCGCTCCGATTGTCCTGCACCCCGTGTTGACACGGGTTCGATGCTGGAACGGTTCCCTTGCAGGCATACACAGCTGAAACGTCGCGCTTTGCTTTTCATGTCATCTTGCTGCATAAAATCACGAGAATGTCAGGCCTTCGGTCACGTGTTGCACGCCAGGAGCGCAGGGGACGGTTTGGGTTCCATGAATGGGGCTCAGCATCCTGCAATGAGTTGCAACCTATCCCCCATAGCATGACATTGCAGCGTGATCTTCACTTCCCTGCCATTGGCAAACCTCTACGAGGTTTGAGCCACTGATGCGGAACTGTACCAAGGGTATGAGCACACCGGACCTGCATAGAGTTGTAGAGGTACCGACACCCTGCTCAGTCTGAAAAACGGTGTGGACCCAACGACAATTGTGTGAAGGTCGCAACGGCTTTGCCGAAGTCACCAAAAACGGCAGGCACAGAAAAGAGTGCATAAGCCTCTTCTCAATGGTTCCAGCACGTTCAGTGCATCCTAATGGGAAGAGAAGCACGCTCCAACGAATAAATGTTGAATTCAAAAAACTCGGATCAAGCCTATTGGGGATGTACGCAGCGCCCAACTGGAAAGCCGCTCCATTAAGACTCCGGTCCAAAACTGCAACACCCCCAGGCTCAGAATCGTTCTTCTCTCATAGGGCAGAAGTACATCTGGTAGATTTCCTGGGCGGACAGCTGATGGAAAGACTGACTCTGCTGGTATCTCCCTGTTGCGCTGCAACACTCACAGAAGGCGCTAAGCAAACACCTGATGCTACCAAATTGTCCTTCAAACAGGTGAAGTGTTTCCCTTCTATTCGACCTGCCAAATCGTCTCAGGTTTCGTGATGCGTTCACGGCCTGACGCTCGCTTGACCTTGCTACCCTCCCATCGCAAGGCTGGTAAGACAGTGCCACTTTGGATTTGGGCTGGCCCTGGGCCCTGGGGCTGACCCTGGGGCTGGACGTTGCCAGGACGCGGCTGGACATGGTCGAGATGCAGCCATGAAACAAGCAAGCAAGAAAGCAAGAAAGCAAGCAAGCTAGCAAACATGGAGTCGGTGACGCTGGTGAACCCACAAGGGAACGAATAGAATTTGACATGGCAAATGACTCGCAAAGACCACCAGTGAACCAAGGCCACATGACACTCCTCGCCCATGTCGGGACTTTGGCATGTAAAGTCGCAATCCACGCTGTCTGCCTGTTTGACCAATTCTGATATCGTGAAGTAGGCTGTGAAGCTAGAAAGCACGACAAAGCAGCCGAGGCGTTTGCTGAATGGAAACATCTGACCAGTCGAGGATACTTCAGTGCGCTCAGCTTGGCAGTGTAAATCAGGACAAGTGATGGATGAGGCAGGGACACGCTGTGGGCATCGTCCAAATGATGACGCAAAGAGCGGTCGTGCCGCTGTGCTAGCGCTACAATCAAACTTGAATTGAATACAGGAGCAAGCTCGCAAAGGTCCCATGCGCTTGCACGCGCGGCATTCAGCAAATATGAACGCATGACCTTTGTCAACGCTGGACGCAAGAAAGTCATTGATCGGGAATGACCTACCGCTAGTTCATTTGGCAACCATTGCTTGGATCATGTCATCAGCCCGGTTTCGCAGATCACAAAATCCGTCAAAAAGCCCTTCCACAGGCTTTCGCCAGCTCGAGAAAAAGAAACCGAGCATTGCATGCGGCTTCACTCCCTGTCTTTGGAAATCAGACCAATTGAACGCTCAACGCCCATTGACTTTTGCTACCAACTGGTGATAAGGCTTCCATAGGCCTCTCTGAAACCCCCATGAGGCCAGGCAGTAGAGCCACCTACCAAACATGTCGTCCAATTGGTGGGGGTGTGGGACACAGCTCAATTCCCTCGACGCCTTTTGCCCTAGCTGCGACCATCCTTTTCAGGTCGTTGTTGATCGGCTGGACTGGCTCGCACCACTCATCTGTCACCTGTCGGGTGGCCTAACATGTGAAGTAGAGAAACCTGCTTGGACAGTTTGGACTTTGCCGAAAACGTTAAGCCAAAGAGCCACAACAACTGAGCAGAGCCTTAACCGCATGGGTCAAGTTGTGTCTTGCAGCATTACTTAAACTCAATCGAAAAGTGCCCAGCGCCCCGCCCCGCCCCACGCACGCACGCAACCCACACATTCACATCTCGAGCAGGCTAATGTTGGGCAATGCTTTTGGAATGAGCACACGTGCACGAGCAGGACGCAATGGAATTGCGCGCGTTTACACTCTCAAATCAGCCAGTACATTGTTCGGCTAATTTAGCTTCTCTTTCCTTGTGTTGGGGCCGGCGGCCCGCGCCATGGAACGCCAAGACCGATTTCAGCCCCGAGCGGGTGACGCCAACGCTGGGCTGCGACAACTTCAGCACGCAGACATTGCGGCTCTGCTGCGCACCGGCGAGGCCAAGTGCGGCAGACCCACCCTTCAGAAGCAATTGGGAAAGGATTTAGCCCTGAAGAGAATCGGGCCGATTTTTGCTGAGCTTCCAGACGCACTCACTTAATGCCTTGCTTGAAGCGCACGCCGTGAAGACAGACAAAGAACTCAGGCTTGGCAAAAAATCATGCTCCGTTGCTTTCCAAAGCTTTTGCACGAGCAGGATGACCTTGACGAGTGGGAGACCATGCTTTGTGAGCCGGTCAGGGAGCGCTTGGCATTTCGGCCAGCTGCAGCAGCAAGTGGGCAAGTGTGTTGCCACGTTGGCGCAGCAACTTTCTCCAAGAGGAGGCGGCCCGTCGCGGTTCCGAGTTTGTGTTTCGGAGATGGCCGCTGAGGTAGGCCAGGCAGTCCTGTCGCGCAGCACGATAAGCTAAGCTTCATGAGAACCGCGTTGGGGACGGCTTGCCTCAGCCGCGCCTGCCAACCTCTTGGCGGCAGCTGTATGGGAACTGCATTGACGCGGAGGCTCGCGTCCGAACTTGTTTCCACCGTGGGCACGAGGTGTCTTCCTTTCTGGCCAAGCAGGAGTTTGCATCGCGCGACTACTGCAGAGAAGGCTGGTTCGGCACGACGCAGCCATGCGATGATTTGCAGGGCTGAGTCAGCCACCCTCAAAAGGAGCAACTTGTTGCTCGCCCAGGAAGGCCTGGCTGGAGCCGAAAAAGGCAATTTGCCGTATCTGCTTGTCAGAGGTCGAAGAAGAAAACTGCTCTCGGACGCATTTCAGGTGCGGATGTCGTGACAGGCGCAGCTCTTGTCAGGCATGGCGCCATTTGGGCCGTGCTTTCATCTCGGCACATACCAAATTTGACCGCGTCGGCGCGGACAGCCACACAAATGCAAGAAGTCAAGCAAAAAGGCGTGAAGCTGCAAAGAGAGCCAGAGAGAGAGAGAGAGAGAAGGAGAAAAGGAAGTAAGGAAGGAAGGAAGGAAAGAAAAGGAAGGAAGGAAGGAAGGAAGGAAGAATGAAAGAATGAAAGAAAGAAAGAAAGAAGGAAGGAAAGAAAGAAAGAAAGAAAGAAAGAAAGAAAGAAAGAAAGAAAGAAAGAGAATAAGAGAATAAGAGAATAACAGAAAGGGAGAGAAAGAGGCAAAGAGAGAGAGAGAGAGAGAGAGCAAAAGAGAAAGAGAGGGAGAGAGGGGGAGAGAAAGCGAGAGGGAGAGTGGAAAAGCGGAAAAATAGAAGATTCAAACTATACTCAAATGCAAAAAACGCTTTTAAGCTATAGTTCACGAGTTCATTCTGCAAAACATAGAATTTATGCTAGAGCCCCAAAGACAAAAACATCCAAACGCTTAAACCTTGGGCCCACGGCGCTGCAAAAAGGGAAAACACATTGGAAGCGCAGCCACATGCAAAATCTATCTCCCATGTCGTCTCGCAAAAAGAAGAGCATTGCAGATCTTGCCACGCATCAAAACGACCACAAGGACTGGACATCAAATTGCCCGGGTTTCGATTGCGGCTTCAAATGATTTCCATAGGCACCTTCAGCTCCTTCAACTCCTCCACCTTCTGGGCCTCTGCTGCTGCCAGTCGCTCTGCCAAAGGCCGAGCCGCCTCCAGCAGATTCCGCACCTCGCTCGCAAGAGCTCGGAGGGCTTGCTTCCGGAAGTCACATCGTCTAGCAAACATACCAAGCCAACGTTGCCTAAGTTCTACCCTTCCCACGTTGTTTCGGCTTGGGCGCGGTGCAAACACCAGCTTGGCCAACAACAACAACAAAAAACGATGGCCTGAGCTTCCTGACCTGGACACGCGCCTCTTGACGATGCAAGTTGCCCAAGAAACGCCGTCTCTTGCCACCACGCTATGCCCGCCAGGCCCACCGTAACTACCGGCAGAAAATCAAGATCACTGGGCCATGAATTTGCCCCCCCCTAACCTCAACACTTCGATATGATCCAGGTATTTTGCCCACGAGCCCAGGTCCCGGACCAGAACCTTCAACATGCGCCTGCGCAGCGCGGAGTTGCAACTCCTTCCTCGTGGAGCCTCAGGAACGCCAGGCCGCAAGGCGGCCACAAAGCTGTGCAACTTGGGGGAGGCACAACCTGTGCGACGCCTTGCAGAGTCCCCTGCAAAGCAGGCAACTCAGACTTGTTTAAAGAACCCGGCCCGCAAGCAAAGGAGAACAACTGAGGCCAACAAAGCAGCTTCGGCAAAAAGAGATGAAGATTGTGCCAAGGAGCATTGGGGTGTAAATGTGACGAAGAACCAGAGTTCCTTAGGTCGTCCAGGAGGGCAGTTCTCCAAGTGCTCTCAGGGCTGAGAACAGCTGGACAACAGCTGGACACGACCGGGCTCAATCTTTGCGAATGCCGGCGCCAGATGTCAACCCAGATCCAACTCCAACGGTTTCTGCGCCCTACGGCTGCGTCTTGCGCCTGCAGCCCGGCGTCCCCGAAAAGCGCCTGGATGATCTTCGAGTAGCTTCGCAAGTCGACGCCCTGGAGCTGTGGGATTTTCCTCAGAGACGGACTGCCAGCGGGCAGTAAGCGCGTGGGAAGGCATTGGCATCTCTGTCCGCTCTGGCTGGGCGAATCACGGTTGTCTTCTTTTAGCAGTTGGGGCCTCTATATATTGTAGAAAGTGTTTTTCCTTATTCAGGATCCTGTGACTGTTTATTTTGGGGTCCTCCTTTGTGGCAAGACGTTTTGGCCGGAAAAAAAAAGGGGGGGGGGGGGAAAAACATTACCGGAACAAAATCCGGGCAAAAAGCAACTGGCCGTAAAAGTCGGGCAAAACAAACGGGCAAACAAATCCGGGCAAGCATTAGGAATTTGTTGCTCTTGCAAGTGGTCCCCAAAGCACCAAATGTAGGATAACTTATTTTCACAATTAAGGGCAAAGAGTCACACAAAGGGGGGGGGTGCCCACAAGAGGCCCTGATCCTCTTGATTGTGTTTGTTTTGGGCCTCTTTAGTGTCCAACTTTTTAGGCGGTTGCTGCAAACACTGGCTCTTCCCAGCTAAATTGGAATTGCCGATACAACACTGGGAATCTTAGAGTAAGTCTTCGCAGTACTAAAGTCAGCACTCGGAATCTGAGAGTACGCCTCGGCAATGCTACGTTTTGTCTTGGGAATACTAAGGTAAGTACTGGGAATCTGAGAGTAAGCCTTGCAATACTCAATTTAGTTTTGCAATTCTTAAGAAAGAACTAGACAGTCCAAGTCCCACCCGGACCGCCCCGCTGACAGGTTCCATTTGTTCAGGGGTGGGTCACAAGAAAGAGGGTCCAACATCACATGGTAAAAGGCATGGTGACAGGGATTGCGATCTTTCTGAGCAACCTCCCCCCTTTCTGCTGTTTGGAATGCTTCAGTCTGGCAAGTAATATAAACTTAAAACCCAAAAGCAGACACCGCAATACGGAGGGATGTCTGCCGAGTATCATCATGTCTTGCTGGAAGGACAGGGAGGGGAACTGAAAGCCTGACTCGGCGATGATCGCGAGGATCGAGACCTGTGTCGCTTTCGAGGCATCGAACCTCTCAACAATGCCGGCCCAGAGCACACATTCCAGGCAACAGGGTTCCGCTTTTTTGACTACCCCAAGGCAGACTTGAACCCGGGGGTGGTTGATTCCCCCAAAAGGGAAACCCCTGGGTTTAAGTGTTTAGGTCTACCCCATAGTCAACCAAAAGAAACCCTGCGGGCAAAGCCTTCCGTCTCAAAGCTCTCTCCCTTTCAGCTCTCGGCCTGCGCCCCGTTCAGAGCACGGAGCTGCAACAACCAGCTCGCATAGCGCAAAGACTCGAAACAGCCGTCGCCTCAGCGCAGGCAGCTGGGTCTGGGCAGCCACCCGGCCAGAGCGGGGAGGGGGTTGAATTGTCCCATGTCCAGGAGACAAGTCGCTGCACACCACCAGGGCATACATCACGCAGGGTGGCATGGTGTCGACTTCCAGCACAATCCTTACGCAAGAATTAACCTCCTAAGCGCTGTAAGGGCCACGTCCCGTACGCAAAGACATATATATATATAGCCACACACCCACACACCCGCACACGCACACGCACACGCACACGCACACGCACACGCACACGCACGCACACGCACACGCACGCAAGCACGCGCGCAAAGTGTGTCGACAGGATTTTGTTCACAAGGACATCCTTTTTTAATGCAAGCAAAGATTGAACCAGCAAACGCGACGCAAGCTGCACTTTGGTTGCAGTCAAGGCCACACTTCTTCACAGGTCCGCTCCAAAAGAAGGGGCGAAAGCATGCCTTGGATGGCACGATGCCTGCATTTTTTGTAGGAGAACGCAACCTGCCATCCTCCCAACACCAGGGCTTCTGCAAGCCTCCTACAAGCTTCCAGAATTTCAGGTACTGGCTCACGCAGCTATGTCCGGTATGTCCTCACGCCCCCGCGCATTCCGCCGGCTCCAACCCCCGCCTCGCAGGATGCAGGCAGTCGCTGCAGCCTCCAGATTGCTCAAGTCTGCCAGAATGACACAGTCCGCGCCATCCTGCCCCCACCGTCTCAAAAATTCTCACAAATATGGACCAGACATGGAAGAAACAATGTGACGCCAATCTGCATTGCAAACTAGAAAGGAATTCAGTTGCCAAATGCGCCACCCTGGTGCATGTGCAACACTTGCCCGTGGCTTGCTGTACCGTTTGAAGACCAAGCAAACAAACCCTGGCTCCGAGTCACTCCTGTGGCGCTTGCTCCAGCTCCAGCTCACAGCTAGGCAGCATGAAGGAAAGGACCTGCACAGGCTCGGGTCTCGAGACCGAAATGCGCGCATGGAGCTCATAAACAGTACCCGTCCAACCTGAGTTCAAGTTTTCAGTCCTCAACACTCTGGGCAAAGATTGCGCACTCTCGATGCCAGTGGCTTGCCAAGAGGCTCGTGCCTTTTTTGGGTGCGTATATGGATACTCCCCAACATGGCTTTCGCTTTTCCCGTTGGTTTCCCTTCAAATCAAAAGAAAACCCAAAAAGGCCTTTCCATATCGCGGGCTACCAAAGTGGCCTGCTGAGCTGCGCTCGTGGCGAACTCTGGCGCAACTTGGAATCTCTCGAGACCCTTCAGCCAGCGGTGCGTCTGCATGATCTCGTGCAGGCCGATGCGGAATGCCACCAGCTCCTGACTCGATTCTTTTTTGGAGAGCCACTTTGGAAGATTCACCAACCAGGCAAATGCGACCGGCAGCCAGGCAAATGCGATCGGAAGGCTAGCACTGCTCACACCTCAAGATAAATTGTGGCATACTGTTTTATGACCTGTACAACTTGGCCTTGAGGGGCCAAAAAAGCGGCTGGCCAATGGGTGTGATGCCAGAAGGAGCAGAGTGCAAGGAGTGGCATACAGTACTGAAACTAACCATCAGACGCAAACATATGTAAGTCGACTGTCCGTCCCAACTGTTCAACGTATGTGATTGGGAGACTCACCAACTTGGCCGCCTTCTGAACACGAAAGCATATTCTGGGCAAGCAATTGAACCTGCCTAGCCGCGATGCGGCCAGATGTCGAAGGCGCTGGCATGTGTACTGCATCAGCTCTTGCCAGAAAGTGACAAAAGCAAGTTTCAGTTGCACGGGGGGCATGGGGGGCATGAGGCCAGGCCATAGCTTCGGACTGGCAACTTGGTCCGGCCTTACGGCAACACGGATTGCCGTGCGTGACAAGGGCACACCCCTCGAAAACCGTGCGCTGGGCACCTCTGAGCGCCAGACACCCAGCCCCGAGAAAGCGTCCAACTCCCAACTCCCGAAAGGGCGCGTCCTCCGGCACCTCCCAGAAGTCTGCGTTCAAGGACTCCCAAGAATCAGAATAGCTCGGGAAAGCCAAAAGCACCTGGGTGTTGAGCTAAGCGGTGTTTAAGCCCGCAGTGGGCATTCGAACTGCGCGCCGCAACTGCAGACGGTGTCCCCGCAAACATCTTGCATAATTTAAGCTCAAGATCTAGGAGGCTCAGGCCATGAAACAAAAGGATCTGCCACAGCCATGATGAACCACATGCAACATCTGCGTGAAAACTGTGCAAGTCCCCAAAGAGTGCTGCTTTTGATGGCTTGATTCCTGACTCCATATCTGAATAGGCCATGGGACCGTGCGGACCTCGTGCACTTGAGCTACAGCCATCTCCGCAATGCAAGACTTCAGCGTGAATAGCTCGCGGCTGCCCAAAATCACCAGCGCCTCCTTGGAAGTGAAAGCCTTCTAATTAGATATCCAAAGAAGTCACCAAATGTCAAACGATTCATGCCCGGATCCGCACAAAGATTCCTTTCTTGCATTTTCATGACTGTTGGCTCCTCTCCAAGCTATGCGGCCTAAACCAAAGGCAACCCCTGGGATGGCATGTAAGAGGTGAAAGTCAACTGCACGTGACCAAGTCTCTGTGTTGTGGCTCACGTGATGCACAAGCTGAGCAAGATCAGCAGGCTCGTGGTCCAGCAAGGCTTTGCAACCTTGCAGGTTGCAAACGGCTTCAAGCTGTATGATTCTCAAGCTCCAGCCTTGCTTTTCAAGCTCCATCTTCAGCATAAGGGCATAGCTGCCAGTCGCTAAATGATGGTGGCAAATGATGCACCTCCGCAAACACAGAATCACTGGATGCAACTGGCTGATGGACAACCTGATGGGCTCCCCTATACGAACCCTTGCACTTGGCCACAGTCTGACTGCAACTGTTGACCGCGAATGTGTTCATTGCAAATGTAACGGGATGGATTGGATAAAGGAAGCATTGAAATGTTCTCCAAGATCAAAGCAATATCCCTACAACATCTCAAGCACAATTCCCATGCCTGAATCTCTTCCTCCAGTGGAGCAATGCAAACCTTGGCAAGTTCAGAAAAAACATACTGCTTCAGAAAGAAGCATCTCCAAGTTTAAGCACATGTCCTGAACATGCACGAGCTCGCATTTGCACTACGACAAAGCAAAGGATGTGGAACTACATCTGGGATTTTCACTGCATGTGTTTTGCACGAAGGCAACGCTTTCTTTTCTGAGCGGCTGAATGATTCCCCAAGAGCCAAAGCCCAGTGTAGCGAGGCTCATCAAAGACGCAACGGTCATGCAAGCTGCCACGACGATGTTGGTGTCCAGGGTCTTAAACAGCCGCGACTCGCACAGAGAAGTGATCTCGCCAGAAAGCCGACCATTGAACTCGCAAAGGATCTCAGGCTTCCTTCAGCCAAGCATCTCTCAGCAGTGCGGAGCCAATGTCAAGCTGCATTAGCATGCCAGCAACGATCAGCAAGTCCAATTGATTGCCTTTGCCGATTCGCAAAATCTGAAACAAAGGGTGAGACACGTATCATGACGGAAGATGATGGAGAATATTGACATTGCTGTCTGGCACATGAACTGCTCAAGGCACCTGGCTATGCCGCCAGATGGGAAGCGTGCAAATGATCGTCCCTGTCGCCTGTCTTCGCCAGTTCATTCCGACAAACTGTGCCTTGATGAGAAAAAAAAAAAAAAAACATCTGCTCTCGTCCTATCATCTGAAGCCAAAATGGGTGTTTTTCGCAGGCTTCGCCAAGGGGCGTGCCAAACTTTGAAGTGCAAGGGGGTTGGCACCTCTTGTTAAAGTGGGTTTGGGCAGAGCGGAGTGTTGTTGCCTTTTTTGCCGGCAGAAACCGGCCACAACTGATCCATCAACTGGAAAGTGGCGGTTCGCATGGTACTTGCCACGCATCGAAGGCAAGGAGTCCCAATCAAAGGGAGACTTGAAGGTAGCAAAAACAACACATGCAGCTGTGTCACAAATGGCATAGCGCCAAGGCTTGGCGATGGCAGTGACCACCAGGCTGCCCAAGAGCCAGATGTTCATGAAAAGTATCTCACCGAGGGAAGTACTGACCGTGGGCTGTGTCTCAAAATGGGAATCGGAACCGCCCCAAATGTGTTTTTGTCTTGATTTGGGGAGACCCCCTTTGGTGGGTTGGCTAAGGGAACCCAAAAATACCAGCCATGCCGAGGGCCCCTGGTTTTGAGAAACAATCCCATGTGTCCACTGACTGTGATTGCCAAAAGCGTAGCGTGCCCTCTGCTTTCTAGATGTTGCATTCTCTCTCTCTCTTTCTCGCTCTCTGTTCTCGAGCCGAACAGCCCTGATCAGTTCCAAAGGCCTTCTCAGGTTGACCCATGGGTCCATCGCGGATCCAAGATATCCTAGCGCAAACCTCCCTGCCTTCGCACTGATGAAGGGAATGAAGCTGGTTAAGCTCATCAAAACCATGCGTGCAAGGTAAAGAGCCTCAGGTCTGCAGCTCCCTGCATTCCAGCCCCGCAGTGTTTTTGGGCTTTGCTTCGGGTCTAAGCTGCCCTCCACAATCTCATGTTCACCGGGCAGCTACTTCAGACTCCTGCTAAACAGCCTAACCTGCACCGCTTCGCCTCAAAGTATCTATCTGCGTCAAGCAGCAATATAGAGTTCAGAGCCAGGTCTGAAGTTTGCCACCAAAAAGTTGCAAGATCTGATGAACCTGCCATGGGCACCCCAATCCACAAGCCAACAGCAATCTCCATGTGAGCTGTTGCGGCATGGAGATGCTTGGGACAAGCATGGGACAAGTGGATGGTCGCCCTGGAGGCAACCCGGGCCTCATGTCTCCTGCCAGCAAGCGCTTGGGCAGCTCGGCCAAAAGCAGCCAAAAGCCTCGCAGGAGCTGCCGACTTGAAACAAAATTGAACCTTGAGAAACTCTGTGAACGGCATGACTCCAGCAAAAGAAATGTGAGTGTAGATTTGAAGAACTTGGTGAAGCACCTTTGCTTGATGGATTCCTGACGCATTCCCACGAAATGCGCCCAATCTGATCAGTCAATCTCAATTTGTTGCTGAGGCGCAAAGGGCTGCGAAGCTGATCGGCAAGCACACGAGTATGAATCCTCGGTCACATGCCACATCCAAAACCAGATCAGGACCCAGTTGTCTCAACAACCAGTGAGGATGAAGAAATCTAAGTTTTTTTGTTGGTTGCTCTCACGAGGAAAACAATGCAAAGGCGGCTGGAGAGCTTGTGAGATGTACACAACAAGTAAGTATTTGAGCCGCCTCTGATTTTCTCCTGGTGATGCTTATCCCAATCAATGACCCCTGCCCAAAACGAAGACCGTCCTTTTATCCAGCCGACTGCCAGACACCCCACATTTCCCAATCAAAACATCAACATGTTTTCGAAATGCCAAAGCAACTGCCCACTTGCTCATTCTAATTCCTACATTGCCAGTGAAATGTTGGCCAAGATCCTTGCATCAGGAGCAACCAAGAAAGCAAGGCTAGCGATGCAGCATAGCGTTTGGACCCTCTTCGCGGCCAAAACCTCTTGAGCTGATTGCAACGTTGACTCACCGGACTGCCGAGGTGCCAAAAGCAACAATGGTTGCGTACTGATCTCCGCTGCACAGCACATCCTAAGAAAGGAATGGAAAGGAAGGCTTGCAAGATTTCTCGGGGGTAACAATCTCAACAAGAAACTGAATTTGTTTTAAAAAAAGAAGATAGAATCATATTGAATCATAGGCTCCTTGTATTTCAAAAGACTTACTTATGAAATGGGACAGGAAATACAAACAACAAACAATAGAAATGGATATGAATATATCTATACACATATATATCTATATATGTGTATATATATAGAGAAAATGACATATACGTCTAATTCATCCATATCTTGTTTAGTTAATATGTTTGTTGTTTGCGTGGTTTTGTCTCTTTCTCTCCAACATGAACGTGTTAACATATGTTTCTTGCAGTATGCCTATTTTCTATATCTTGCTTATCTCTTACTGTTCGTCATCTTCGGAATACGCATTGTGAACTTTGGAATCTTCAAAGAAAGTTTAGAAGGAAATTTCCTGTTACGCACACGAACTGGAAGGCAGCCTTGGCACAATTAAGACAAACAAAAGATGAACGCATGTGGGACGTGGAGGGCAACAGAAACCGAGAAAAAGAGTGACACTCTGCGGGTTCTGGCGTCTCCGGATGGCTGAAAGCAACTTCGGTCGCGACGGCTGACGGACGACGGGCTCGGAACGGTCTCGGGCCCGGCCCCATTGGCACGCACAGACGCGGTTTTCGCGACATCAGCTTTGCCTGACACGCGCGGCATATCGGCAAGCCGACGGGTTGGCGATCAGATTGCGTGGCCGGCGCAACACTTGGGCAGCGTTGGCAGGCGCGGCACCTTTGCTGACTCAAGCGCAGGTTGAGTGAGAGGCGCAGCAATTTAGCAATGCTGGCACGGACGTGTCGGAAATCTCATTGGCACGGACACACAAACTGGCACATGCAGATTTCGTTGCAGGCGCAAAAATTGTGCAAGGTCAAGTGTCAATTTCGTTGCAGGCGCGGCACTTTCGCAAGGTCAAGTACAGATTTCGTGGCAAGCGCACAAATCTTGTAAGGTCAAGCGCGAATTTCGTAGCAAGCGTGGCACTTTCGCAAGGTCAAGTATAGATATCGTGGCATCGGTTTTCGTGGCAGGATCAGCAGTTTTGCAAGGTCAAGTGCGAATTTCGTGGCAGCGCGGCACTTTCGCACAGTCAAGTACAGATGTTGGTGGCAAGCGCAGAACTTTCAGACGATAGAAAAACAGATTGACGCATAGATAGCTAGATAGCTAGATAGGTAGGTAGCTAGATAGATAGGTAGGTAGATTGGTGGTTGATCTAAATTCCTTTGTCTCGAAACGGCCATTCTTCGCGAATATAAAAGTTACTTTCGCGAATCTTTCGCGGATTCATCGCCGTGCTCTTTTCATTTCTCGAGTCGGAGAATCGCAGCTTTTAAGTGCCAGCGTTGTAAGCGAAATGACGATTTCCCAACTCCAGCTGTAAAGTCGCAACTTTTCATCACAGGGGTAGTACATGACGCGCCGGCTGGAAAGTCGCAGCTTTTCGTTCGCCGTGCAGCTCCAGCTTGAAGTCGCAGGTTTCCAGCACCAAGCTAGTATACTGACTAGATCGGCGCTCAGACTATACCTCCCCTTGCAATCGAAGCCTGCGCTTTCGCGCGGGCTTTCGCGGATCTTTCGCGGAACTTTCGCAAAAAATCACCCACGTTTCAGAACGCAAAGCCACCGACTAACACCCACAAACACACATACACAGGCTTGGAGCACTGACCAGCCAAGCAGGGTATCAAACTGTAGCCTCACCAGGCTTAATCAGCGCAACATCAACAAAGTTTTTTTAATCAGAATAGAAGGAAGGCTCAGCAGAAAAGATGAACGGTTCCACATATCATTGATTACCCAGATACAGTTACGCAAAACTTTCGCGAGAAAAAAAGTTACTTTCGCAACTCCATCGCGAATCTTTCGCGGAGCTACCTCAACCAACACCGATGGTCACCGAATACTAAACTCCTTACAAGGACCTTTAGAACGACTCCCAGATAGATAGATAGATTAGCTAGATAGCTAGATAGCTAGATAGGTAGGTAGATAGATAAATAGACAGATAGATAGATAGCTAGCTAGATAGGTAGATAGATAGATTGAGAGATGCATAGAATAGATAAAGACAGAGGATAGATAGACTTGTAGATGGATAAATAGAAATTTCAATATAGCACTATTGTTCAATATCTTATCGTTGCATGATCTGTTTCTATTTCAACAGCTATAAAACCCCAAGATCTACAACAATAAAGATTTGATCTCATGACTTAGTTTCTTATCTGTGCCTTTGTATCCGCAAAAACAATCCATTGCTTTGTCTCTTTGTCATCTCTCTTGGCCGGCCTCATCTGTAACTCAAGGGCCGGGGAAATGATTAACAAACAAGATAGCATTTCTAGAGCCGGGTCTATAAAATGGATGCGAGTTCAATGGGCCGTCCAAAAAACGATGCATGAACAACGAAACAGGTCTAGGCCCACAGGGCTTTGACCAGTGCCAACTCTCCTTGCGCCCAAGGTGCTGGGAGGGCCAAAAGAGTAGAGAGGCCATTAGGATGCAGAAAGCAGCGGAAGGCCGCCAGGTCGTAATACAAAAGCATCGCGAAGTATGCAAATGCAAAATTGCCCACCTAGCGCGCGGCATGGATGGCTATGTTGAAATGCTGGCCTGTAAGCAGGGGAAATATAAACAAAGAAAAAGGGTAAGGAACTTTTAAGGGGAACAAGGGAAGAGCAAAGGCGAACAGGAAAGGTGAAACTGTGATTGAGTTTGTGGGTTTAGCATCGGTTTTAGGGGTTGGGGGTTGGTTGAGGGTTCTGATTTTGGATGGTTTCAGGGCCGGTTCAAGCCTTGATTCAGGATGAATTCTGGCTGGTTGAGGGTCTGGGGTATGTTTAGGTTTGATTTACGGCGTAGGGTAAACGGAAGTTTGACCCAAGGCATTGGTTTGCTTCTCTTCTGTGAAACCAACGAGGCACTTTAGAGCTCAGACCCATGCTCGTCGAGAAACGGAGTTGACCACGAGGTGCCGAGCTCTGCGTCTGTCAAGGCAAAGGTGGAGCACAGCGAGGAAGAGAAAAACAAGCAGCGGGACGTGCGGACCTCAGCACGAGACACAATGGTTGACTTTACTATCTTCAGCACCTTATTCTTCACCTACTTCACCTACTTGACTATCCACGAACCCAAACCTCGAGGGATCCCTAACCCCAGGCCTTGCTCTTCTACATGCCTTGCATCAGTGTTGCTATCAGCCGAGCAACGAAGGAAGAGTCCAAGCGGAGTGCGGCGGGAAATTGGCGAGCACTCAAGGAAGCGCGTGAATCTCTGAATCACCTGCACACAAAAAGTCCCTCGGGAGAAGTATGTATGTGGCCATACACGTCGTTACAAATCGAGTAAAGTCTAGGGATGTTGGAGACACACCCATACTAAGCTTCAGTGTTGGCATCCCACCTAAAGGACCTACCAAAGAATGTTCCAAACAAAGTCAGCACCTTGCAACAAGCGCAAGTGGGCTGAAATTTGACGCAGGGCAATGCACATGGTCGCGCACCCTATGAGCTACATGCGCGCCCTCCAACTAGCTAACTGGATCACTGCCAGTTTGCTTTCTGACCAACCGAATTCCCTACGCCGATGCCCAGCTCCCGGAAACCTGCAAAACCAGCAAACCAAACAACCAACCAAGCAACCAACCACCTGACCCAACCCAACCCAACCCAACCCAACCCAACCCAACCCAACCCAACCCAACCCAACCCAACCCAACCCAACCCATGTAGCTTCAAAATTGTGTGTACAAATCCTGTGAACCCGATGCCAGTAAGATATCGAACGCGCAGGAAAATGATGAGTGTAGATGTAAAGCTTTAACCGGCACGCTCTCATTGCCCAAGCGGCACAGGCGATCAAATTGCAACGGATATCACGCCATTCTGTCCTTTCTAACACTCAAGCTGATCATCGTACGCGTTCTGGGAAGCATTGCGTTCGGACGCGACACTGTCCGAGCTGAGATGCACAGAAGCTAAGCGAACTTATCCGGTGATACACTTGCTATGACCCTGCGCATAATTTGCCTCTCTCTGCGCAAAGGAAAATCCTAAATCATTGGCAGGCAAATTATCACATCCCCCAGATCCAGTGCCGAATCCTTCATTGATGACTGATCGACGTGATGAGCTAGCTTGTTGACCGCAGGCAGCATTCCACCCATCGCCACTTGGTGGTCATATCACATAGAGCCGGCGAAGCCGGTAGTAAGAAGTTTCTAAACCTTAACAATTGTAGTTCTGTTCTTCTTTCTTGCTTTCTTTTGTATTATCTGTCTGTATTGCTCTTGCATATAGGGAACCTTTTAGGTATCTTCATCGAGGCGTCTAACGGCGTGCGCCAGACGTGTTTCTGTGACACATGCTGCAAAGACCTGCAGTTGGTCCAAGAAGCCCGACTTGGACCGACAATCATTGGACCAGCTGGGTTGGACCAACTCAGGCTTTGCCAAAGGGCTGCAAGCGCCTGCAATGTTCAGATCAATTTGGAGGTGCATCTTTTTGGAGGCCGCTTCAGAGCACTTTGCTAAAGGCTTTAACGCACTTGTGTGTTGCAGAACGCACAGCCATGCACAATAACTACTTCAAACATTAAGTTTGTAACTGCGCCTCGACAGGCGCCGTGGCAGCGCCATCTGACCAACTGGCTCCTCCAATCTCGGTCATCATCATGACGAGCTGATGGCCTTGGTCAGGCATAGCTTGCCAAGCTGACTCGGCACGACAACTTCCTATGTAGCCAGCTCCTGAAGCTGCGAGCCGATATTTGCATGCGCAAGCAGTTCATAAAGCCAGGAGCACTCAGCCAGCATTTACACAGAGTGACATACACATGATGAACATAATCAGCGTCAGCTAGGCCTGAGGAGCACGCAACACAAACGAGACAAGGACATAATTTTTAAATTTGAAGAGTAGGTCAAGGAGCAGCGTTATGAGAAATACGAGTACGATGAGCATCACACACAGAAAAAGTTGAACCTGTATGACCACCAGCATGAGCAAGTTGTGAGGACTCCGCGCTGTGCCTCACACCGAGGTACACCTACTATGTTGTTTGTTTTTGGCGATATTGAACCACATGTCCACAAAAAAAGAGACCCCTTGCTGGTGGTCATTGAATTTCTCTTTGATACAGCGCCACGCCCAAAACGAGCCCGGGTTTCGCCCCTGCTCTCGCTGTCTAGAAAGCAACCACGTCTCCACTCGCACAGCTCTCTGTCACTGCAACAAGAATTACCAAGCCACCAATAGAAGCTCCACCCTCTCACTCGCTTTTGCAGCTGAGCTGCACAAGAGACACGCCGACAACAGCAGAGCTGTGCTGAGACTATAGTGGCGATAGACCTAAATCTCGCCCGAGGCTTCGCAGATCTGTTGGTTTCATGGTGCAACAAGTTGGCATCTCATGTTCGACCCCGCCCTCGCACCAAAAAACAGCACTCAAAAAGGGCTCTTTGATCCACCAGTCACTCAGAACCGCGAGATAGGATCTCTAGGCACGTTTCCAAGGTTCCTCAATCCATTGACAGCGCTTCTTCAGAACTAAATGCAACAGACCAAAGTGGTGAATCGTGTCCGCCAAGTCCCCGCCATTGTATGACGGACGCGTCAGCTGGTTTCGGAGTGAGGAACTTGTTGATGAATGGACGAACATGCATGCATTTCCGTGAGACTTCACATGTATGTTCTCTCTTCACGGACTTGTCAACTGAGTATCCAATGAAGCTGGGTCACGCCGTAGACACGTAGAGCAGTCAAACCAACTTTAGACAGAACTAGCTGGCAGGGATTTGTGATTTGGTCAGCAACTTTCTCCCCCCCCTTGCAAGGCTTTGAAGGATTTGTTTTTTCAGCGCCGTTAGGTTGGGGTCCGTGGATGCCTTGCCACCGCCCGCTGGCCCACGAGCTGCAGAGCGGAATGCGGCTTTACCAGGGGCCCCTTGCGAAGACACTTGAGAAGGCCGGCCTCCTCGTTTGGCCGTCGCTTGGTCACGCTTGGGCGCGACAAGTTGCCTCCTTGGCTAGGTCCGGCGCCGCTGATGAACTTCACCATCCAACACGCGCACGCACGATTTCCGCAGCTTGTCCTTTAGCTCAGCAAGCCCCCGATTTCCCTGAGTTGCTCCTTCCTTGGTCCTGGGAAAGGCCGCCCGAAGGCCACCCTAGCCCAGGCTGTCATCCAGGTAGAATGGTGAGAGTCCTCCTGCACGCTCTGCAAGAGCCTCGCCACCATCTCTGCGCGCTGGACGTGTCACGAAGACGTTCCAGAACCGCGCCGCTTGGACGGGGTGTCCGTGGGAGTAGCCCTTCTTCGATCCCGCGCTGGCCGACGTGCGCCGCAAAGGTGTCTCGGGCAGCGTGGGCTTGCCAACCGAGCGCCTAACATAGCTCAGTTTGAAATCCTTTGCCGCAGAGCAGGGCTTCTTGTCCTGCATTACAGATTCCTTCACTGCCAGCAACCCGCGGTATGAAGCAAGTCACATCTCACTCCGTTCATGGGTTTTTACAACAAACTGCTAAAAACGGTGCTGGTGTAGTCTGGCCAACGCATGACATATGAATGGGAAAACAGAATACAGGAGGGACTGTCCACAAGGACGGGTTCAAACGATTGCAACTGTGGCATCGATTCAACAAGTTGTATTGCTTAGACATGGATCTCAACTTTGACCCTTGAGCACAGCTCCACCCTTTGCCACCTTCATGTCGTCACTGCAAACCTGGCCATGATCCTGGACACGGTTTTCCCCTTTCACGCAATGGATCCCTCAGGTCTCCTGGCCATCAACCCCTCTGGACGTCTGGATGCTTTGGCTCTCGCAGCGCACGACTCTTTTGCTTTTGTCTGGCGAGCCCAACAAATATCATCTTGTTCACACTGTGTCCGTGGGAGGCATCCAAACAAATGCATAGTGGAAATTTTAAAACGAACGGCGAAATTCTATTGGGCCATAATGAGAGAGAGAGAGAGAAAGAGAGGGAGAGTGTGGGAATCAGGATGCAAGCTATATCTTCTTTAGTACCAACAATGGTTTCCATTGAAGATTGTTCCGGAGAAGACCCAAGGACGACATCCTGCCGCGCATGGGCGCAGTGGGCTCTTCTCAGCCAATACTCAAGCAGCACTCCCATATTCCAACAGAGACAGGGACATCAAGTCACGTCCATGTAACACAATAAGATAAGCACGATGTCACGAATGCCGTCAAGCGCGCATCGATCTGGACAGGAAAGCAGCAAAAGATTTAGTTGACAACTCAAGAAGGTGCTTAGCATGCATGCAGCACACATGTTTGAGCCAGTGTGTATCATTGCCATTAGCAAGTGGCGACCTGGCAGAGGACTATGATCGCAATGCAGAGAACGAGCGCCAAGCACAGTAGCATGTAGTCTGTGGATGTGCAAGGGATGCAGCCTGCTGCAGCAGCGTATCCTTGGATCTACTGCCCAAGCATGCACTTTTCCAGTTCGGCTGTTACGGGTTTATTTGGCTGGACTCAGTGACTCCCGCAAACGCTCCAAAGATCAGCGCCAATTCGGAGTAGGTGCCGCCTCGTTGGCGCCTCCCCTCGTTGCAGCGAGCACACCCCAGGTTGGACACTTCGCGGCCATGGGCGCAGGCCCCAGGGCGGCCGCCGGGGCAAGCCCCAGGGGCGTTGTAGCAGAAGTACACGCTGGTGGGTGTAGCCGTAGAGGACCAGAAGCCTCATTCCATGATGCTTGTCATATGGGTCAAAACGAGCCCTGCTTTGGGCATGGCCTAAGAAAATGGTGGCACCTTGAGCAGCGTCCAAGAAGGCTAGATTCTTGACTCAGGTCCAAGCTCGCAGCTCGAGATGCAGTTGCTTTAATGGCAAACCGCCAGCTTGCGATCGAGCCGGGTATTCCTGTGATTGTCCATGGCCCCAAACTGCGCCAAAAAAGTCAACAGAAACCCATGACAATCCCATGACGACCTGCTTCAAGCTCTGCGTGCGTCTTCAGTGCCTTTCCGAGCGAAACGGATTTCTGCCCACGCCTGCAAGTAGCTGAACCTGTGTCGTCCCATCGCAAACGGCTCCCAAAGGGCAAGGCTCGCCTCAAGGCACACTGACAAGTTTGGGTGAAGGGTTGCGATCTCATGGGGGGATGCCAGCTGGCTCGAAAACACACCCGAGGCAATAGGTCGACACACATTGACAGTTGCCCATGACTGCACAGTAGGCTGCCTTACATTCGAGACACTGACATGTATCACTGTATCTCGCAGAGAAAAAACAACCAAGATCCGGCTGAGTTCACCAAAAGAACATCTGCAACATTAGGGGGGCAGAATTCACTCAGTGCCAAAACACACTTCGCCTTGAGCGACGCACGGCACACACCCAAAAAGGGGGTGCGTGGGAGTTTGGCACCAGCTGTCCAACAGTCTGTTAGAAAGATGTGCAAAGCCGAAATACCAACGCTATTTCGCCCGCACGTCGCCTTCTGGCTTACGCTCACTTTAGCTTGCAGGTTGGCACCAGGCTGAATGTGACACATGCAAACAGCTATGCCGCTTGTGCCGCTTAACTACATCACCACTCAGGCGTTCATCCCCTGAGCCTTTGCGCTTAGCTTTGACTTGGGAGATTCCACCTTGCCCGATGCACCTGGAAACATTGTGTGGTCTCCCTAGCTGGCTGCAAGAAAATACGAGCCATTAGCTCCTCCTGTCCCCCACCCCCACCCTTTTTGCAGCACCAGCAGCAGCGCAGTCCGTTGAGAAGCATCCCCGTCTTGCAGCTGCAGAAATCGCTGCGGCTGGCGCCCAGTACGGGGATCCGAGTTGGGCCCTCCCCAGATGGAACCAGCCTGCAGCGAAAGAGAAGTCTTTCTCTCTCTCTCTCTCTTTCTTGGACCTTGCAACTTGCAGTCTTCACATTCTTCACAAGTCTTGAGCCATTCTTGGCCAGGCACTGGCTGGTGGTGAAGAGATCCTTCTGATCTTCAGGTCCACACCAGTGGCACTGGCTCATGCCAGTGCTGTTGGCAAAGCTGCCCAAAGGACAATCTGCGCAGGCACGCTCGCCCTCCTAAGTCAGGTTAGAAACAGCTCAAGTCTGGCAAAACCTGAGTTGAACGGCTTCAGCGTCTTGTCTCCCTCCGCGCATTTTGAGAACTGCAGACATGTCGTCCTTGACAGATGCCTTGCCAGCAGAACAGGGAGTGCACGTCATCTCCGCAGGCAGGCTCTGGAATGAGCCTGCGGCGCTTTTGTGGAACCCTTGACAGATACCGTCCCCTGTGAAAGCAAGACTCGCTCATATCAAGCCTGTAAAGGAAGTAGAAGGTTCTGAATTCGAGCTTCCAGCATGTTTGACGCAGGCTTGTTTCACTGGATCTCATCGCCAGCACGACATGCTTATCTTGCACTCCCCACATCCATTTTGAGCGCAGCTTCACACCCGCCCGGCAGCCGCGCCTGGTGGGCAAAATTCGCAAACTCGCGTCGTTGCAAAAGCCCGAGAGAAACGCCCGGCTGGACAGCGCTCGCAGCCCGATGCATTCTCTCCTGGACATCTAAAGTGTGTTGGGCTAGCTCGTTGCATCCAGCGGAATGAAGTGCGTTGCCAACACTGAGACAAGGCCGACAAGTCATCTGAGCCACGCGCATCGATTGCGAAAGATTGCAATCCCCGCTTCACCCGCTTCGCTCCCGGTGCGGTCACTGTACTTCCCAACCCTCGCAGGTCCTGAGAGTAGAAAGTCACCCTGGGCATCCACTACACCAAGCCCATCTGCACATCGCCTGAGACAGCACTTTGACATCCAGAGCCATGTCACAAACAGATTGGCCCGAACGCATTTTCCCCAGGCGCTCATCCAGCCGCGGAGACACCTCTTTACATCGCTGCGGCGAGCGTGTCTGCGCGCGGCGATGCTCAATGTGTATGGTCACATGAGAGCTCCATCTCATCATCCTAGTTTCCTCTCGAACTGCGCCGCGCGATTTCTCACGAAAGTGGTCTGCGCAAGCTGCATTGTTCCAGGCTGCTGCGCGCAAGTTGCTCTCTGCAAGCTGCTGCACGCAAGTGCTCTGTGCAAGTTGCTCTGCGCAAATGCTCTGAGCAAGTTGCTCTGCGCAAGTTCTCTGCGCCAGTTGCTCCGTGCAAGCGCTTTGCGCGTGCTCTGCGCAAGTCGGTCTGCGCAAGTTGCTCTGCGCCAGTTGCTCCGTGCAAGCGCTTTGCGCATGTGCTCTGTGCAGGTTGCTCTGCGCAAGTGCTCTGAGCAAGTTGCTCTGCGCAAGTGCTCTGCGCCAGTTGCTCCGCGCAAGCGCTTTGCGCATGTGCTCTGTGCAAGTTGCTCTGCGCAAGTGCTTTGTGCAACTGCTCTGTGCAATTCGCAGAGCGCAAGTTGCTCTGCGCAAGTGACTCTGCGCAAGTTGCTCTGCGCAAGTGCTGCCGGAGCTGTGGGAATGTACTTCGCGTACTATTTTTGTACTTAATTGTTGCGATTTTCCAGCCGGAGCTGCGGGAGTGTGCTCCGCGTACTACGTTTGTACTTAAAAGTTGCGATTTTCCAGCCGGAGCTGCGGGAGCACGCTCCGCATACTACGTCTGTACTTAAAAGTTGCGATTTTCCAGCCGGAGCTGCAGGAGCACGCTCCGCGTACTACGTTTGCACTTAAAAGCTGCGATGTTCAAGCCGGAGCTGCCGCGGACCAGGGGGGAATCGAACCCGCGACCGCGGGATTGCCAAAGCAGGCGCGCGAGCCACGAGACAACTTTCAAAGGCCATTTCGCGAGCAACAAATTCGCACGGCGCCACAGCGAGAGCGCTTCGACACGCACGATCCCCGCAGAGGGGCGCGCGCGGCTTGCAGAAATCCCAAAGTCCTCAGTTTTTGAACCTCAACCACGCAAATCTCCGCAGAGGGTCGCGCGCGCATGCTAGAAATCGCAAAAAAGCCCCCAGTTTTTGAACCTCGACCACGCGAATCTCCGCAGAGGGCTTGCAGAAATCGTAAAAGTCCTCAGTTTTTGAACCGTAAATGTCTCAGTTTTTGAATACCCTCGACCACAGCGAATCTCCGCGGGTCGCTTGCAGGCGGATGTTACAAATCGTAAAAGTCCTCAGTTTTTGAACCTCGACCACGCGAATCTCCGCGGGTCGCGCGCGCATGTTAAAAATCGTAAAAAGTCCTCAGTTTTTGAACCTCGACCACGCGAATCTCCGCAGAGGGTCGCGCGCGCATGTTAAAAATCGAAAAAAGTCCTCATTTTTTTAACATCGACCACGCGGATCTCCGCAGAGGGTCGCAATCCCGAGCGATGATCAAACTCCCGCCCCGGCGCATAAGAAACCTAAACTAACTTACATAGCTGCTTACGCCGAAGCTCTAGGCAAGCTCTACCTAACCTTGGCTCTATGTAACTTGGCTCTATGTAACTTGGCTCTATGTAACTTGGCTCTATGTAACTTGGCTCTATGTAACTTGGCTCTATGTAACTTGGCTCTATGTAGCTTGGCTCTATGTAACTTGGCTCTATGTAGCTTGGCTCTATGTAACTTGGCTCTATGTAACTTGGCTCTATGTAACTTGGCTCTATGTAACTTGGCTCTATGTAACCTGGCTCTATGTAACTTGGCTCTATGTAACTTGGCTCTATGTAACTTGGCTCTATGTAACTTGGCTCTATGTAATTTGGCTCTATGTAACTTGGCTCTATGTAACTTGGCTCTATGTAACTTGGCTCTATGTAACTTGGCTCTATGTAACTTGGCTCTATGTAACTTGGCTCTATGTAACTTGCCTCTATAACTTGGCTCTATGTAACTTGGCTCTATGTAACTTGGCCCTATGTAACTTGGCTCTATAACTTGGCTCTATGTAACTTGGCTCTATGTAGCTTGGCTCTGTGTAACTTGGCTCTGTGTAACTTGGCTCTGTGTAACTTGGCTCTGTGTAACTTGGCTGTGTGTAACTTGGCTCTGTGTAACTTGGCTGTGTGTAACTTGGCTCTGTGTAACTTGTCCAAGGGCTCCGCACGGAAGAACCCTTCGCGATGCTTTCGGGAAAACGAAGAACTAACGCTTGCGTTTGTGGCCCAGATGCCTGTGATGTGGCAGCCAGGTGTTCCAGTTCTCCTGGTGGTGCCTGATCCATGTGCAAGCGGTATGTCTGGTCGAGGATCCAGACGCATTGACCTGGCGACAGATTTGCTTTCGTCACACATGATGTCACAGCCAAAGTTTAGTGGGCTGCGGTAACGGATCCCTGACACTGGACAGGTGGGCTGAGGTCCAGAACACAGTGCGTCCAGGCACTAAGAGCTCCTTCATCTCCTCCTGGGTAAAGGACACCCGGCTGGCGACTTCCTGCAATGCGTGCCTGGGCAAAAGGGATAAGAATAAGTTCACGCAAGGCTCCAGGACAGTTTCCTGCTTCAACAAGGTTCAAGCGTTTGTGCTGCAATGATGGGAGCCCAAAACCAAGCATCAAGACACAGCAGTCTGGCCACTACTCCTCAACATAACAATGTCGTAGTGAGTGCGTGCGCGGTTTCTGATTTCTCCACGTGCCTGCGTGCGTGGGTGGGTAGCTGGTGTGTGTGTGTGTGTCTGTGTGGGTGTGGGTGTGGGTGCGGGTGCGGGTGTGTGAGTGTGGGGAGTGTGGGTGTGTGTGTAGGTGTGTGGGCGTGTGGGTGTGTGGGTGTGTGGGTGTGCTTGTGTGGGTGTGTGGGCGTGCGTGTGTTTGGGTGTGCATGTGTTTGAGTGTGTTTGTGTGTGCGCGCGTGTTTGTGTGTGTGTGCGTGTGTTTGTGTGTGTCAGCGTGCGTGTGTTTGTGTGGGGTGTTTGTGTGTTTGTGCATGTGCGTGTGTTTGTTTGTGTGTGTGCGTGTTTGTGTGTGTGTGCGTGCGTTTGTGTGTGTACGGTTTTTGTGTGCGTGCGTGTGTGTGTGTGTGTGTCTTTGTCTGCGTGGGTTTGTGTGTGTGCGTGTGTGTGTGCGCGTGTGTTTGTTTGTGTGCGTGCGTTTGCGTGTGTAAGTGTGTTTGTGCGCGTGCGTATGTTTGTGTGCGTGCGTGTGTTTGTGTGTGCCTGTGTTTGTGCGTGTTTGCTTGCGTGTGTTTGTGTGCGCTTGCTTGCGTTTGTGCGTTTGTCTCTGTGTGTGTGTGTGTTTGTGTGTGTGCTTGTGTTTGCGTGTGTTTATGCGCGTGTGTTTGTGTGTGTGTGTGTTTGTGTGCCTGCGCTTGCGTGTGTGCGCTTGCGTGTGTGTGCTTGCGTGTGTGTGTGTGTGTGCACGCGTGTGTGCGCGCGTGTGTGCCTGTGTGTGTGTGTGCGTGCGTGTGTGTGTGTGTGTGTGTGTGCCCGCGCATGTGTGCGCTTGTGTGTCTGCGCGCATGTGTGTGTGTGCGCGCCTGTGTCTGTGTGTGTGTCCGCGTGTGTTGTGTATGTGTGCACTTGTTGTTTGTGTGCGTGTTTGTGTGCGCATGTTTGTGTGTGAATGTTTGTGTGTGCGCGTGTTTGTGTGTGTGCGTGTTTTTCTGCGCGTGTCTGTGTGTGCGTGATTGTTTTTGCGTAATTGTTTTTGCGTGTTTGTGTGTGTTTGTGTGTGCGTGTTCCTGCGTGCGTGATTGTCTGTGCGTGTTGGTGTGTGTGTGCGTGTGTGTGTGTGTGTGTGCGTGTGCGTGTTTGTGTGTGTGTGTGTGTGTGTTTTCGTGTGTGTGTGTGCGTGCTTGTGCGTGTGCTTGTGTTTGTGTGTGTTTGTGTGTGTTTTGTGTGTGTGTGTTTGTGTGCTTGTGCGCTTGTGTGTGTTTGTGTGTTTGAATGTGTGTGTGTGTGTGTGTGTGCGCTTGTCTGTGTGTTTGTGTGTTTGTGGGTGTTTGTGTGTGTTTGTGTTTGTGTGATTGTGTGTTTGTGTGTGTGTTTTGTGTGTGTGTTTGTATGTGTGTTTGTGAGTGTGAGTGTGAGTGTGTGTGTGTGTTTCTGTGTGTGTGTTTTTGTGTTTGTGTGTTTGTGCGATTGTGTGTTTCTGTGTTTGTGGCTGTGTGTTTTGTCGGTGTTTGCGTGTGTGTGTGTGTGTGTGTGTGTGTGTGTTTGTGTGTGTGCTTGTGCTTTTGTGTGTGTGTGTGTGCGTGTGCGTGTGTGATGTGTGCGCCTGCGTGTGTGTTTGTGTGTGTGCTTGTGTGTGGTTGTGTGAGTGTCTTTGTGTGTGTTTGTGTGTGTGGGTGTTTGTGTGTGTGTTTGTGTGTGTGTTTGTGTGTGTTTGTGTGTGTTTGTGTGTGTTTGTGTGTGTTTGTGTGTGTGTGTGTGTTTGTGTGTGTTTGTGTGTGTTTGTGTGTGTTTGTGTGTGTTTGTGTGTGTGTGTGTGTTTGTGTGTGTTTGTGTGTGTGTTTGCGTGCGTGTGTGAGTTTGTGTGCGGGTGCTTGTATGTGCGTGTGTTTGCGTGTGTGCGTGTTTGTGTGTTTGTGTGTTTGTTTGTTTGTTTGTGTGTTTGTGTGTTTGTGCGTGTCTGTTTATGTGTTTGTGTGTGTGCTTGTGCGCGTGTGTGTGTGTGTGTGTGCGTGTTTGTGTTTGTGTGTGTGTTTTTCTGTGTGTGCGTGCTTGTGTGTGTTTGTGTTTGTTTGTGTTTTGTGTGTGTGTGTTTGTGTGCTTGTGTGTGTGTGGATTGAATGTGTGTGTGTGTTTCAATGTGTGTGTGTGTGCTTGTCTGTGTGTGTCTTTGTGTGTGTGTTTGTTGTGTTTATGTTTGTGTGATTGTGTGTTTGTGTGTGTTCTGTGCGTGTGAGTTTGTATGTGTGTTTGCGTGTGTGTGTGTGTGTGCGTTTGTGTGTCAGTGTTTGTGCATGTGTGCGTGTGTTTGTGTGTGTTTTGTGTGTTTGTATGTGTGCTTGTGCGCGTGTGGTTGCGTGCGTGTGTGAGTTTGTGCGCGGGTGCTTGTATGTGCGTGTGTTTGTGTGTTTGCGTGTTTGTGTGTTTGTGTTTTTGTGTTTGTGTGTTTGTGCGTGTGCTTGTCTGTGTGTGTGGTTGCGTGTTTCTGCGTGTCTGCGTCCATGTGTTAGTGTGTTTGTTCGTGTCTGTGTGTGTGTCAGTGTGCGTTTGTGTGTGGTTGTGCGTTTGCATCTTTGCGTCTTTGTGTCTTTGTGGGTGTTTGTGTGTTGAATTTGTGTGCGTTTGTTGCTTCTGTGTTCTTTGTGTGTGTGTGTTTTGTAGGTGTTCGTGGGTGTGTTTGTGTGCGTGTGTTTGTGTTTGTGTTTGTCTGTGTTTCTGCGTGGGTGTGTTTGTGTGTTTGTGTTTGTGTTTGTCTGTGTTTCTGCGTGGGTGTGTTTGCGCTTGTGTTTTGTGTGTGTGTATGCGTGTGTGATGCGTGCGCCTGCGTTTGTGTTTGTGTGTGTGCTTGTGTATGGTTGTGTGCGTCTCTGTGTGTGTGTTTGTGTGTGTTTGTGTGTTTCTGCGCTTGCGCAAGTGTGCGTGTGTGTGGTTTGTAGGTGTTTGTGGGTGTGTTTGTGCGCGTGTGTTTGTGTGTGTGTTTGTCTGTGTTTCTGCGTGGGTGTGTTTGTGCTTGTGTTTTGTGTGTGTGTGTGTGTGCGTGTGTGATGTGTGCGCCTGCGTTTGTGTTTGTGTGTGTGCTTGTGTATGGTTGTGTGCGTGTCTGTGTGTGTGTGTGTTTGTGTGTGTTTGCGTGTGTTTGTGTGTGTGTTTGTGTGTTTCTGCGCTTGTGCATGTGTGTGTGTGTGTTTGTGTGTGCTTTTGTGTGTGTATGTGTGTGTGTTTGTGCGTGTGCTTGCGTGTGATTGTGTGTGTCTGTGTTTGTGCGCGTGTGTTTGTATGTGTGTGTGATGGTGTTTGTGTGTTTGTGAGTTTGTGTGTTTGTGCGTTGGTGTGTGTTTGTCTGCGTGTGATTGTGTGTTTCTGTGTTTCCGCGTTCATGCGTTAGTGTGTTTGTGTGTCTGTGTGTGTGTGTGTTTGTGTCAGTGTGCTTGTGTGTGTGGGGGTGTGTTTGCATCTTTGTGTCTTGCGTGGATTTGTGTGTTTGTGTGTCTGTGTTTGTGATTGTGTGTTTATGCATGTGTGTGTGTTTGTGCTTGTGTGTGTGTGTTTGTGGGTGTGTGTTTGTTTGTGCGTGCTTGTGTTTCTGTTTGTTTGTGTGTGTGCTTGTGTGTGTGTGTGTTTGTGTGTGTGTGTTTGTCTGTGTGTGTGGTTGTCTGTGCGCGTGTGTGTTTGTGTGTGTTTGTGTGTGTGGGCGTGTGTGTGTGTGTGTGCGCGTGTGTTTGTGTTTGTGTGTGTGTGTTTTGTGTGTGTGTGTTTGTGTGCGTGTGTTTGTGTTTGTGTGTGTGTTTGTGTGTGTGTGTTTGTGTGTGTGTGTTTGTGTGTGTTTGTGTGTGTGTGTGCGTGTGTTTGTGTGTGTTTGTGTGTGTGTGATTGTGTTTGTGTGTGTTTGTGTGCCTGTTGGTGTGGTTTTGCGTTTGTGTGATTGTGTGTGTGTGTGTTTGTGTGAGTGTGTTTGTGTGTGTTTGTGTGATTGTGCGTGAGTTTGTGTGAGTGTGTTTGTCTGTGTTTGTGTTTGTGTTTGTGTGTGTCTGTGTGCCCGTGTGAGCGCGTGTTTGTGCGTGTGTCTGTGTTGTGTTTGTGTGTTTGTGTGTTTGTGTGTCTTTGTGTCTTTGTAACTTTGTGTCTGTGTGTGTGTGCGTGTGTGTGTGCCTTGCTTTGTGTGTGTTTTGTGTGTGTTTTGTTTGTGTGCTCGTGTGTGTGTGTGGTTGTATGTGTGCGTTTGTGTTTGTGTGTGATTGTGTGTGTGCGTGTTTGTGTGTGTGTGTTTGCGTGTGTTTGTGTGTGTGTGTGTTGTGTTTTTGTGTTTGTGTGTGTGTTTGTGTGTGTGTGTGTGTTTGTGTGTGTGTGTGTGTGTATTTTTGTGCTTGTGATTGAATATGCGTGTGCTTGTGTGTATGTGTGTTTGTGCGATTGTGCGTTTGTGTGTTTGTGCCTTTGTGTGCTTGTGTGTGTGTGTGTGTTTGTGTGTGTTTGTGTGTGTGGTTGTGTTTGTGCGTGGTTGTGTTTGTGTCTTTGTGTTTGTGTGGTTGTGTGTTTGCGTGGTTGGGTCCTTGTGTGTTTGTGTGTTTGTGTGTTTGTGTGGTTGTGTGTTTGTGTGTTTGTGTGTTTGTGTGTTTGCGTGTTTGTGTGTTTGTTGTGTCTTGGTGTCGTTGTGTCGTTGCGCCCTTGTGTCCTTGTGTCTTTGTGTCTTTGTGTCTTTGTGTCTTTGTGTGTTCTTGTGTGTTTGTGTGGTTGTGTGTTTGTGTGCTTGCGTGTGTGTTTTTGTGCGTGTGTGTGTGTGTGTGTTTGTGTTTGTGTGTTTTGCGTGTGGCTTTGCATGTGTGCTGTGCGTTTGTGTCT